TGTTGTTGTTGTAGTTGTAGTAATAATAATAATAATAGTACTTTTAGTAGTAATGATGATCATTCTCACAATTGATCTTTGTCCTCTGCTGGTGGAACTTCTTGTTGTTGTTGTTCTCATTGTTCCAGTGTTTCCACCATCTCTTTGATGATCATACAACAAGTAACAAGAAGATACACCACCATTTAGTATTGTTGTTGTTCTTCTTCTTGTTGTTGTTGTTGTTGTTTCTGGCTGCCTGTCCTCCTCCTCCTCCTAGTACTGCTGCTACTACTACTACTAAAATTACTATTACTACTACTACTACTACTACTACTACTACTACTACTACTAGTCATTGTTGGTCAAATCCAACTTCTTCATCCAGCAAAAGCAAGAAAGAACGTCACCAGCAGTACTGAAGAAGTGCACCACAAACAACAACAAGGAGAGGTCACATTGAGCACTTGAACAGTATGGTGATAATACTACTAGTAGTACTACTTGGGTCGTACAAGTACTAGTAGCTAGTACTAGTATAATAGTACATAATACTAGCACTACTAGTAGTACTAGTAGTAGTACTTGAGCCAGCCTACTACTATGGATAAGAACCGGAAAACTAAATACTACGACGAACAAAGAACGACAAGAAACAGATCTTTTTCTGTTTTCAGGTACGAATACGAATCAAAGTATTTGTACGTACGTTCTGTTCTTCGTAATAAGTCGGTACTTCTACTTTTCCCTCTACGGTACCGTACCAAAACCATTCCGATGCGAAGGGAGTGTTCAAAACAGTTTTCAGATACGGTACGTACGTACAGTAGTACTGTTACGAGGAACTGCGTAAAGCACCCCGATGCAAATTCGCAGCAGAACAGAAGCTTCCACGATCCGAACAGTGCTACGGTTCAGTTCCTCGTACGGTACCTATTAGGTCTTTGTATTATTATTTCGAACACTACTATTATAACTAAAACGGATATTTCAAACGAGAGACGGGTACGGCTTCTTGCTTTTCTTCGTCCCGATCGAAACAAGGAAGATTTGTGATCAGTTGTCGGAAGCCCCGAGTTTGATCCAGACGCGGACCATGTGCCGGCGCTTGGCGGAATCGCCGTCGACGAATGCGTCCCGGGCGTGCGCCAGGCTGGCGTTGTTGCAGTAGATGATTTCCCCGGGTTGCAGGTCCAGGGAAGCGATGGTTTCCTCCCGGAGGGCGTCGTCGAGGGCGTCCAGGGCGGTTTCCAGCAGTGGTGGCAGGTCGCTGCCCAGCCCGGCTTTTTGGTGGCCCGATTCGATCCACTGCCGCATGTAGCGGAAGCGCAGCCTGGACGCCCCTTCGTCTTGCTCGAAGACGGGATAGGCGTTGTGGCGGATGCGGTGGGCCAGGAGCTGGGGATTTCGCGAGAGCTGCAGCAGGTGATCCGTGGAGTGGACGCCGGTTCCCCCCCCGGATTCGAGAACGTCCCGCGGCAGCGGCCGCAATAACTCGTGGAGCAAAAACTTTGGAAGCCTCTGCTTCAGGACCTCCAGGGCGTTCGTTGCGGAGCTAAGGTGGAGGGTTCCCCCTCGGAACGAAGGCACCAGGCACATGAGCCCGACGGCGTCGTGGGCCTTGTCGGCGGACGCCCCGTCCGTGTGGTGGGTTGCGGCCTTGGAGCTGACGCTGAACAACACGTTGTCCTGGGAGGTGTCCAGGCCTTTGTCGCGGACGTCGAACAGCTTTCCGCGGCTGCCCCCGTCGACCCTGCCGATCAGCGAGGAAAGGACAAAATAGGCCAGCTTGGCCATGCCCTCTGTGTCCTGGTCGGTCTTGCCTCCCAGTGCACCGAGGTCCAGCCCGGTGACGCGGACGGCGCCGGATCCTTTCGAGAGCTTGTCCCGAAGCTCTCTGGCAAATGCCGCTACGGTTTGCAATTTCTCGGCGTCCCGGGCGGTCGGGGCAAAGGTCTCGTGGGTGATTCCCTCGGAATAGGTGCTGGCCGTGAACTCTCTGAGCTCGGCAAACACGGGCGCGGGAAGGTTCGCCACTAGGATTTTGTCGGCGTTGGCCTTTTCCAGTGCCGACCATTTTAAGGCTTTCGGGATCTTCCCGGAGTTGACAGTGGCCGGTTTGACAACGTCAAAGACAATGTGCAGGGGCGAGTCCTTGACGGATTCAAAGAATTCCGGGTGCTCTCCCACGTGCTCCTGCAAGACGCGGCACTCCTTCATGTCCTGGATGTCAAACCCGACGGCCTTGAGGGTTTCGGTATAGTCGCTAATGGCCTTGAAAAACATTTTCACGTTGAGGTTTTTCCCGTCCAGGGTTCGAATCACGCCGGCGAAGCGGCGATCTCGAAGAGAAAAGTAGGCGCCCGAAGAGGCCTCGCCACTGGAAAAAGAAAAGGTGGAAGGCTCGTTCTCGCCGTTCGCTTTGGTCTTGCTGCTGCTGCTGCTACCGTGGGCGTGGAGCATAAACGGATGGGGGACGGAAAAGACGAAGTGGCCACCTGGTTTGAGCGTCGTATAAACCTGTTCGCAAATGTTCTTCATCTTGCCAATGGATGTATCTAGAAGGATTCATGAAAAGAAGAGTGTGAGGCAAAGGCGATCCGAAAGGACAGAAAAAATAGCAACCGGCAACGCTGATGCGACTAACTCACAGTTGAAGAGAAATATGGCCGTCGCCAGATCAAAACATCCCTGTTGAAGCATGCGGCCCGGAACCAATCCCAGGCTGGCTGGCTTGTCCTTGAACAAGGTCTCGACGACTTTCTCGGCGTCACAGGCCTCATAGGTTTCCTTGTCGGACTTTTGTGGGTTGGCCTTGGCCCGCTCGATCATTTCCCCACTAATGTCCAACCCTAGGACCGACTTTGCGCCCATAGCCACCAGCCTCCGGGCTCCGTATCCCTCTCCGCATCCCACGTCCAATACATGGGCCCCGATCACCCACGGAGCACACGCCTCAAAAACGATGGGTCGACCCGTAAAGTCCGACAGGCAGGTGGCACCGTTGCGCACCCAGTTCTTGCTCTGTTTGTTGTACAGCTTGGCACTGTCCTCTCCCCCATGCCCGGTGGGGGGGACGACGGTTTCCAGGAAGCGATCCCAAACGATTTTCCGCGCCTCGAGAATGGCATGGACTGCAGCCGTGATTCGAAGGCGGGTTGCCTCGTCCGAAGCCAGGTCCACAACAATGGCTCTCATTTTGTCCGCGTGATCGACGTCCATGTCAATATGGAGGAGGAAAAAGGCCAGGTCATCCTCGGTAATGAGTGGGCTCTCCTCATTGTCTTCTTTCGCGATAGCGGTCACGTAGTTGGACAATTTTCCGTACATTTTGCTCACAATGAGTTCAGAACCGAGGTACATGGAAGCAATGGCCGTCGCGGCGGTCGCTCCCAAGGATGGATCACACGCGGCCGCAAAAGCGTTCACTAAGGGTTCAGCGATAAACCCGCACTGCTCTTCGGTGAAGCTCGTGTTGCTGCCGCTAATTCTCCGAAGCCCTTCATAGCATCTGACGTAAAGCTCTTGATGGGGAACGTTCCGAAGGCGATCGGCATCGAGGCCGAGTAATTCGATCATAGCTATATCTTCCTCGCCATAGATGCCTATACACGGGAAAGCAAGAAAACAGAAGAGACAAAACATCGCTGCTGTGAGCATAGGATAAATGGGGTGAGGCACTGATGTCTGAAGTTTTGATTGACCTACCCTGCTCCTCCTCCACATTCTCTTCGAGCGTCTTCCGATGTTTTCCAGTGGGATCTGCTTCTCCAACCATTTCGATCGTGGCTTCCAGATGGGTGCAAAAGGTTGAAGTGAAGTGGCGGTAGGCCTGCATGAAGTCGGCAAGGCGGGAGACGTTGCCTTTGAATCCGCACCCGAAGGATCCCACCGAGAAGGAATCTAGGACGTGATGGTGCAGGGCGTCGTGACCCAAAACAGCGGCGTCCAGAGCAGACACGAACTCGTTCGGGGTGGTGTGAAGCGGATCGAAGATTCTCTCGGCTAGCTTGCCGCTGAAGAGTGTCTTGTGATCAACACAATCGGTGGCGGTGCCCTTGTTGTAGCGGAGGAGCGTGGCGGCGAGAGTCTCGAGGTCGAGCCCATCCGCTTCCAAATGCTGTGACTGCGCAATGAGCTTATGGACAGATTCGTCCAGCATCGTGTCCTCCTCTGAGTCGTATTCAGACGAAGACGAATCGGAATCCATGACGGGCACGATATCCGGGGTGCTACTGCTGGTGCTCCTTTCGGTATTGTCGCGACTGGAATTCTTGGAACACAAAGACAAGCGTTTTACAAATTGCCTCGTGCCGTGTCGGCTCAGAGACAGACCATCGGTGGAAAAATCATCCTCCAGCTGTTCTATGGTCGATATCTCGAAGAGTTCTTTTAGGAATCCCGTAAGGGCGCGGGCTGTCTCGATCTGGTCTTTGCAGCTAGTATATGAAGGATGATATTTGTACAGATTCCGAAGAGCGTTTGAGTCCAGGCGATCGTACACGAGGGCCTGTTGCAAAGACAAATGAAGGAGAAGCGCAAGTAGTTAGGCAAAGCAAATTCGTGGAGGAAACGAGCGTTACGGTGTCGCAGTGCGTTGTGCAATGACTAGGTGCAGAAATAAGATTTTGACACGTCAATCTCCAATCAAAGCTGCATGAAGTTCCATTCTCACTTACCTCACTAGCGATCAAGCTCCCATTTTCCTTTGCCACGGCCTCTGCTTCACGGCACATCGAGACGAGACGGTCGAATAGATTCTCAAAATTTTGGGCGTCCTTCAAGAAGCCGCAACTCTGGAGGATATCTAGGAATTCTTTTGCCGATAGCGACTCATATCCAAGCACAGAGCAAATACGGTCGAAGTCCGATACGGATTCGTTGGCAAGGTGGTACAGGGGCTCCATTTTGGGTAAAGAAAAGGTCTACCAATGGTATTGCACTATGCGAAATATAGCTTTCGATATTTGATCCAGCTTAAATTATGTACAGTTAGAGGTTCCTAGGCAAAAGAGCCAGAAGCGGAAACTCAACTGACACCAAGCTTTAAGGTCTACGTGGTGTGTACGCTTTCTCAAAAACATTTTTTCATTACTTCTTCGTCTTTTTACGGACAGCACGGTTTGATGGTGCCCGTTTTTTTCTAGAATTTTGATACTTCTATTTTCTGCTCTTCATGAATTTTCGATTACAGATTAAATAGTAGCTGATACCGAAAATAATACAGTACTAATGTACCAAAATGTTAGAAGTATAAGTAAGTATTGAAAGAAGTAATAAATAAATTCCTGTACCGTAAGTATGATACTGAGACCCAATGCTACTTCTTGGAATATACCCAAAAACTTGATTGATCAAAATATATCCCTAGTGGATACTTACTTAATCATGAATTTTTCAGTAGAATAAGTGTCAAAATAATCTTTATTGGTTCGCAAAATGACGTACTATCGATGAAGTATTTCAACAGATGTCGAGAAAAAAATTAGTCTAGAATTGATTTTTACTCTTGACTACCAAACCTAATTAAGTAATCTTTTCTGCGAACTACTAACAGTCCATCGGTTCGCAAAATAAAATTGTCGAAAGTGCTGAAGAACGCTATCAAAATACCTAATTATTATTATCATTATCATTCGCTTATCAATGTTGACAAGAAATAATATCATACAATTATTATCAATGTCCAGGGCAGTGTAATGCACTTGAATAATATCAGAAAAAGATCTTTATGTGAAAAAATAGTCATGATAATCTGATACAGTTTTCACGCTAGTGGTAGGTGTAAAACTGCATTGAATAATATCAGAAAAAGATTCTTATGTGATAAAATAGTCGTGATAATCTGATACGATGTCACGCTGGTGGTAGCTGTAAGTAATGATTCTGAAGATATTAATCAACGACTTTTTTGAACTACTCATATGAGTAGTACTAATACGCATAACAACAATTGAAAGTACGTTAATTGTCCCAAATGTTGTTTTAGCGTACCGGTACGTTAGTGTGTCAATGTAGGCCTACGTAGATCCTAGTATCCCAATAATCCGCATTCTTTACTGTGGTACGTAGCGTGCTACGTACCTTCCCAAAACAACTTTTTTGGGGTCTTGTACGGTACGAGTTTTTTCGATATAAAATTACAGCCAAAATTAACGCGCGATTTTCACCCACCCACTAGTATACCTTTGGCAGACCAGTTCTAAGCCGCCAGAGCATCCTTAAGCATCCCAATGACCTGGATCACTAAGTAATTGTATCATCTTGGTMTGGGCACTTAGTCTGGTGGTCTAAAGTTGTTTTTTGATAAAGATCTGGCCTATTTTCTAACCAGCAGGAGGTCTTGTAAACCGGCCAATTTTGGCCATACCGGCTGTTAATKGTGAATCGCCTCTCCCCAGGCCCCTAATCGTGTAACAATGACACATGGGGCTGTTCCCAATACTATTRAGAAGCTTTTCYCCAAAGGGGATCTCATTACAAGCCTTTCCGGAGCTATTGTGTTTAGCTTATTTTACCTCATTTAGGTGTTTGTAGTGGTAAAAGTGACCGAAAACTAGTAGATCTGTGTAGGACCAGTACTAGAATATTTGGCTTCAAAATTAACCGTGATTTTACTAGTAATAWTTTTTTCTGTTGGAGTAGAATGACATTGAGGTCTGTAGGCCCTGGTAGGATTTTACGGTTAACGCATTTTACTTCGACATAACTGGTACCGTACCGTACATACTGAAGAAAAGGAAGAGGACGCATCCCCTGCTAACATTCAGACTGTTCGTGACCAGAGGATTCAAAAAGTTAAATTCAAGCAAAAAACTGCAGTACTAATTTCTATAGACCTCCTGCCCTGTTAACATTTGGAATGTTCTCAGATTTATGTTCCCAATGCCTCAATTGACGTAGGTTTATGTTCCCAATGCCTCAATTAACGTACTAGGTAATTCAATTGTTCTTGTTTTTCTTTTACTCGCCCATGGTAACAAAAGTGGTGATTGTTCAAACTATTCTTGAAAAGGAGAAGTTATTCAAAAATAAACCAACAAAAAAGAACTACTAGTAGTAGCAAGTACTAGTACTAGTACTAGTAGTAATGTAGTAGTGCATTTCAACATGTCTTGTTCTTCTTGTTATGATCTTGCAGTAGTAGTAGTAGTAGTAGTAGTAGTAGTAGTAGTAGTAGTAGTAGTAGTAGTAGTAGTAGTAGTAGTAGTAGTAGTAGTAGAAGTAATCATAATAATAATAATAGTAGTAGTAGTAATAATAATAATAATAATAATAGTAGTAGTAGTAGTAATAATAGTAGTAGTAATAATAATAATAGTAGTACTAGTAGTAATAATAATAGTATTACTAGTAGTAGTAGTAGTAGTAGTAGTAAGAACAACAAGTTGCTAATAGTATGGATGATGCTGATACTACAGAGAACACTGATATGAGTCACTGGTAAAGGAGAGGAGCTGCTGGTACAAGCTGCTGATGCAGAGGATGCTTTTACAGAGGAGGAGTCAGTCTATGATTATGGCCTAGTACAATTTTGTCAGCATTTGTGCCAATCACACCAGCAGAGGACGCTGATGCTGAATAGGAGGTTATGCTGATATAGAGGAGGCTGATACTATGGAGGGGATGCTGATACAGATGCTAATGCAACAAGTTGCTGATGCAAGGAGCTAGTAATACATGGAGCTAATACAAGGAGCTGATATGGAGGAACTACTTTATGAAGGACACTCACTAATACTACAAGTTGGATGCTAACACATCATGTTGCTGATACAGGTGAGGATGCTGGTACCACTGGGGAGATACTGATATGGAAGAGCTGCTGCTGATATAAGTTGGTGATTGTACAGAATAAATTGCTGGTGATACATAGTAGGGTGCTGAAACAGAGTCAGACACTGATACACAGGACACTGAAACAGAGTAGCTGGTGCTAACTACTTGTACCCCTCTAAGAGCTATGAATAATTTTTGAAAAAATCTAAATATTATGTTTAACCTCCTGAACTAGAAGTGGCACTGATCTATGGTCTGAACCATAACTTCTGGTGAGAAGAATGCTGCTAGCTGCTGCAAGAGGTTAACCTCCCTCCAAGAGCTATGAATAATATCTACAAGTACTAGTAGCAAATAATACGCTTCTGTTATTGTCAAGAATTACCTTAAATTGTATGTCTTTTTATTCTGCAAATTGTCTTGTGGTTGATAATGCAAGCAATTCTGCTCAATTGACTTTGCAGATTTTTCACTCTACCAGCATGGTATGCCAGTAGGAATCAATGCAAAGTATATATACATAGTAGAATTGTACACATTTTCCCACTATTGCATTTTTAGTTGCATCTCATCTCAATGGGTCATTCCTGTATATATGATATTTCCAGGTATGTATGTGGGAATGCTTTCAGTGGTACTAAATACACAGCAGGCTTGCCGAAAATACATATTTCCCCCCCCATTTTTGGAATTTGGAATCCCATATTTATGCACTACTTTCATAAGATTAGTTTGTGGTGCCAATAAGAGTCAATTCAGATTTTCAAGAAACTAGCTATGGCTCTGAACCTATCAAAATCACATTTGCTGACATCACTTCTGTTGACAATTATTTGCAACAATTCAATGAGTTGCATTCTTCCTCTGAAACAATTAAAACAGTCCCTATCTTCACTATTTAGCTATGCATTCTTCCCTCACAGCAAAATGTCCACTGAGATGGTTTTAATTGCATTGGCAGCTTTCCTTGAACAACAGGAGCAGGATGGAAGCCATATATAACAGGACAGGAGGGAGAGTTGTTGTGGATTCTTTGTTTAAGGTCAAAGGAAGAGACAATCTCATTCGGAACCAGCAGAATGATCCAGATACCTTCAACACTATGGCAGAGAACACCCAGGCTATTGTTATTAACAGGCAAGCCACAGCTATCTGTCAGTTATCTGAATGGTATCTGAATGGTACATGCTCATGATTAAGGGGCAATTTACAAGGATGAAGGACAGGCTTAAATTGGAGGAGCTTGGCCATAGGAAGATCATTCTTAACCTCTTGTTGTTGTTGAAGAATTATCAATGCAGCAAGGTGGGCATTAATAAGATCCTCAACACCTTCATGAGCAATACCAGTGGCTTTGAATCCTTTCAAGCAATGTGACAATCAATCCTTCTTTCAAGTGATGAGACAATCCTATGCAAATCAACAGATAGGATACTTTTTTATCAGCTAGAGCCCAATGGGGATACCAATAGTTTGTTCCCCAGCTTGGCAACTTGTGGTAGAAGAGCAGATGACAACAACAACAAGAACAGACAACAACAGCGTTGATTGTTGACAGCATTGATATGGTCCAGATTGATTGTAAATTGCTGCAGATTGTTGATTTGATTCCCATTTGGTTGTGTTCTTTTGTTCATTAATGGAAGATTAAATGGATAGTAGTAGTGCTTACACTTAAACTGTACACCAATTAGTATTATGAAGAATGATCTAAACCCATATAATACACCACCACATTATTTTAGTTCCTTGTCCACTATAGTGCCATGTTATTTTGTGTTGCCAGTTTTGTTTGTATACCTGCCCACAAAAACCGGGATTGTTATTTGAAGGGGAAGGCATTGCACATGGAAGCAAACCCACCACAATTGTTCACACAGATATCCATCAATGTATATTTCACCAAAAAATGGAACTCATAACTAAAAGGGAACACTTTACACATTGAAGCAATCCTGCTGCCACACTCCCTAGTTAAGAAGAACCAACAGATTGATTCTGATCAACATGCAGTATTATGAAGACACAATTACTATTCCACCAGTAGTACAGTACTCATAACTTGTAAAGCAGGAGGGAGCAAACAGCAATCAGCAATCAGTAGTTTAGTTTAATAATTGCAATTAGTAAATAACCATGGGATTAACCATGGGATCATTCCAAATCCTCATCAAAGGGGTCATTGTCAGAGGAGTCCATCTGCTTGCACTTGCACTTTCTCCTCTTTGTGCCAGGGAGATAAGCACCAGCAAGGGGGACAAGGAGATCTTTGATGATTTCCAAAACCTTATCCTGATACTGTTCCATGGACTGGTTATGCTGTTCCTTGGACTGGATAGCAAGGAGGGCTTGTTGCTGTTGCCTGGACATCTGGAACATAGATGTGAAATCCATGTTGTTGCTGCTGCTTGATAAGGAGGATCTTAAGTACAATCTCTAGGCTGGAGGATGGGGGCATAGAGTACTCTGAGGGACAGTGTGACTTAATGCCTGAGTTGGGCCCGGAGCAGTTAATCGAGCAAGCTGGGGAGTCAACAACAACGGCAATTGAGTTGCTTGAGTTGATCCTTGAGKGGATGCTTGAGTTGATCCTTGAGTTGATCCTTGAGTGGATCCTTGAGTGGATCCTTGAGTKGATCCTTGAGTTGATCCTTGAGTCCATGCTTGAGTCCATGCTTGAGTCCATGCCTTGAGTCCATGCCTTGAGTAGGCTGAGAGGCTGGTACTATCTGAGTTGGAGTCTCCAGCTGAGTTGGTGTCTTGAGCTGAGTCAGTGTCTCAAGCTAAGTGAGCTGAGTCAGCCTACTCTTCCTCTTCTTCAGTGATGTGTTCTTCAGTTTTCCATGCTGTCTTTGTTGAATGTGTTCTACATTGTGTTTTATTTGTTCTGTTCTTGTTGAGGGGAGGCAAAGATATGGTGCTTCTTGTTCTATTAAGAAGGGAGATCAAAACTTTCAGTTTTGGCACCAAGTTGCACCTGTCTTTAGGAGGGCACGCCCACTCACGAGACTGAAAATGTTAAGTCAAGGATTCCAATTAGTATGTATCTCAAATACTCAGATCTTGGTTGTCGTGGGCCAAGGACAACCAGTATCTGAGTGTTTGAGATACATTAAACGAGCCGACCGGTCAAAAAAGACATATATTTCTGTGTATGCGGGGATGACCCAATCCCCCCACTGAACCGGTACATACTATTTCCTGTCCGTTGAGCCTATTTTTAATCCATCATTTTTTTAATTATTTAGGATCTCCGACACGTGCTTGACCCCGAAAAAATGAATTACTACGGAGACTCGCGCAAATTGCATCAAACAATTTATTCTATCAACATTGAAGAAAGTTCAATTATCGTTCGGTCTGTCCAACGGATGCAACGGAATTAAAATCGACTTTATGTTGATGGCGTAATTACAGTACAACCATTTTTTTTTCAGCACGGTTTGATTGGTAGGACTTGGAAATCGCAAATTTAGCGATAACAAAACGACGGTTGAATTAACATATTTAATGCTAGACGATAACTTAATTTTGAATTACAGTACTAGGGAAATAAATTTGACGAAGATTGCGACCGGTAAGTCAATCATATGTATCCGAAACGCTTCGTAGCCCTCATTTTGGTAACGGCATGATGATACTTATGCATATCTTACAAAAAAAGTGTCGGAAAAACGTACTTTTTTTCGAATGGTTGTGACAAAACAGAGGGGTTCATGCTAATTCTAGACTCGTAATTAAGTTTACTGAGGTGTGTACGATGGATTCGATAATATGCTGCAAACCTGTTGACACAAGAGATGATGGCGATAGTAACGTGGAAGAGTCCAGTGCGATTGATCATAACGGAAAAATTTTGGAATGTGATTACGACACCAATTGTACTAAGCTATACAAGATGATCGAAGGCAAGCAATGGGAAGAAATTGTTTATTTTTTGGAAAGTGGGAAATGGTATTTCGACACAACTTTTCTTACGGCAATGATTTTTGGAGCAGGACCTGATCCTCGCTTTACCGAGTCTAGGACGTGGGTCACAGCTTTGGACGAAATGGGCAATGTTCGTTGGTGCCAGCTACCATTGCACGCGGCAATCACTTTCCAAGCACCCTTCGAAGTTATAACAAAGCTTGTTGAAATATATCCTGAAAGCATTCGTTGTGCTGATGATCAGGATATGCTACCACTTCATTATGCCTTTCGCTTTGGGAGTGAAGACAAGGTATTAGCTCATATACTGGAGGAATTTCCACAGGCTGTTAAAAAAAAGGCTCTTAGAGATAGATTACCTTTAGATATGGCGCATTACAGCTCAAAACCAGAACGCGGTGTCATCATTGAATGCTATTTGGACACATCGATTGAAGAAGCAAAATCTGATTGGGAAAGTGATCATAGAAGCATTATTTCTTCAATCAAAACAAAAGCCAACGCATCTCTATCGGACGAAGTGTCTACTAGGAACAAAAAACTACGAAGCGTGGAACGTGAGCTATATGAAGCAAGGAAAAAGATACAAGAAATGGAAGAAAAGCTAGATGGAGGTAGAATGGGTCCCCCAAGTGGTCGATATTCTATCCCTCGGAATTCTTCAAACCAACGCTCAGGAAAAGGCAGAAGAGACGAAATATCTTTAGATCCTTCCGAGGTTTCTACTGACAAGAAAAAAGGATTTGGCAAAATGTTTGGACGGTCAAAGAAACAAATAGTGATGTCGTGATAAGATTAGTCACACATGACTTGCACTTGCTCCAATCATGTAGAAGGAAGAATGATTTACAGCGATGCTAACTTTACGTGTCTTTAAATTATATCTATGATAAGCCCAAATACCATCTTCTTTGTGTTGACAACATACATGTCGGAAACATAAATCATAACATTATAAAGTACTTGTTTTTAACTAATACTACAAAAGACAATAACTGTGTGGTGTAACTTTTTCTCCACGAGGAGCTGATTGGTTTTATTTTTGTTGTCTGGCAAACCAAACTTACGACGTAGACTTCAATTAATGCTCATTTGGAGGACACGAGACGAACTAGATTGATTTGTAGCATTCCCGAGAGCTTTCCTCGGTTGAATCTTCTGTTTGATCGTTGCCCGTTTTTTGATGGCTTTTATTGAGCCCGCAAGAAAATTTTCCTCATCCATTTCTATATTATCGCATTTTTTGAAGCCCTTCAAGTGTATCACCTCATCATGACTTTTTTTCAGTGCTTGTTTTAGATTGGATATTTCGATCGTGTGTTCTACCTTTTCTTTCGCAAGAATTTCCTTGGTTCTGTTTAGGTCATCTATTTGTGCATTCAGACAAATTACTTCTTGTCGATGTTCTTTACTCATTCGAAGCATTTCCTGCTCGCATTCATCAATTTTATCCAAAAGCTCCTCAATTTGGTTTCCTGCTCGACTAATGGACAAGGAAACATCATTCTTTGACATTTGATTTTGCATGACTGATCTCAAATGATCGTATTTTTCTTTCTGTTTAGTTCGTGTTTCGCGTAACCGTGCCTCCATTTCCATTGCAACTTCAGCACGGATTTGATCTTCTTTACTCTCCAATTCAACTTGCAGTTGAGTGTTTTTGTTTTTCAGCGCATAAACCCGCTCTTCTGCTATTTGCACAACATTTTTTAACGCCTCGATTTCTTTCGCGTGATCATAGCTTCTACTAGATACGATGCGCTCCTCTTTCACAGTATTTTTCACAACAATTTTCTCTAGCGCCTTCTTCGGTGACAACTTCTTCGCCATTCGAGATAGCAGAGGATGCTTTGGTTTCTTCAAATCACAGTTCTTGCTATTTTCGCATTTGAATTTTTTTCTTCCGTTGCGGTCGTATTCTTCGCCAAAAAATTGTTTCCGTTTGGCACCAAACTCATCGATATTCATTTCAATCAACTTGGCTTTTCTGGAATATTTTAAAACGTGTTGGGTTTCATCGAAGTCTTCCACAGATGGATTGACGTTGACCATCATTGCCGTTCGCGCTGCAGATTTGCTTGTAAGATGTGACATGAAAATATGAGTAAGTTTACTCTCTCGAAATGGTATCACGTTGTTACCACGGCGACGATCTCCATTTTCTTTCATTGCATTCAGACAACGCATCAGTGTCATCAGGCTGTTGTTGATTTTTGTTGATTCCTTTTGGCGAATGCTTCCGACTCTAGTTCTTTTAGATCGTTCACTGCCTGCCAAATCAACAATCCAAATTGTACTTGCTGAGAGCCTGGAACGAGCCACAGCCTCTTCGTCCGTTGAATAACCACTCATTAGGTCAATGTTGGACGCTTTCTTTCCGCCATCTGTTTCTGTCGAGAAATCTCGAACGGGGAATGGTGTACTTTGTTGTCGCAATGGAACAATTTCCATTTGACAAACAAAATGAGACCGACTCGAATCCATGTTCAGGTTATTGCAAGAAGTATGCCGTTTATTATATGCTTCTTTCACTAGTGAAATGCCGTGTTCCTCGTTTCTGACTTTGAGTTTCTTCAATCCCCGAACAAAGGTTTGTCCCCGACATTCTCTGATTTTCAACGCAGGGAGTGAATTGCTCTTGTGTTTGGATGAATTTGCCGCTTTTTCTGGCATCAAGTCGTAAATATTTTCATTGTAGATTTCAAAAAAACTGATGTACAAATCACAAGGCGGTTGATGTTTACAGTTGCCCATACTTGACTCTGAGGCTTCGGTCGTTGAAGTGACATTTAACTTAACTCTATTTCGTTGAAAGACGTCACTTATCGCTCTGGGAATAATACCCCAATTCGCCTTATTGGTAGAATTGATATCCCCAAGAACTGTGTGTGTCTTTCCAGCATTTGTTATTCCATACGAAAATAGCAATGCAGATTCACGGCGTACTCGCGACAATTCAGTACGCTTGTCTCGTCCATTCAACAAATCATGAATTATTGGAGCGGCTGCAGCGAAATATACATCTTTTTGGGATATTTTGGGACCCATCACCCGGTCGAAATGAAACTCTTTTGCGTACGCAAAATTGCTTCGGGCGTTACGATTCATATTCACCTTGTGCACGTTCGAGACCATAGGGGGATAAGTCCTAATGGTTGTCGGAAATATCGTCTCATCGTTAGACTTGTCGGAAGGTTCTAACACTTCAATAGTAGAAGCATTTTCGACTTTTGAATTCACATCATCATCTTGCTCAAGGGTAGACTTGTATATTTGCAAGGGACGAATTCGAAGAAAAACTGCAAATTTTTTCCTTGATTTTCTTTGATGCTCGACTCGATCGGTCCCAGTCGGAAGAGGTGGGCGAATAGATGGTAGTTGACCTCCACTTCTTACTGGACTAGAAGAACTGGCTGGCTTACTTGGAACCAGGTGATCAACCTGTTTTGCCACCAAATCGTTTGATAACTCTTTATCAAAGGTGGTTGCAAGATTCTTCTTTAGATGTGCTGTCGAGTTGAAATAGAAGTCATTGCTATTGCTCTCTGACGAGCTTCTGTTGGAATCTTCTTCGAGAAACATGTTTGCAAGCTGCGCTTCGTCCTGCCACAATGAGCTATCCATGTTCGGTAACAGACTGGTTGGATAGAATAGTTTGTAAGTTGAATGTAGAAGACAATGGCTTTAGCTTGCTTTTTACTGTTGGATTGTTTACCAGATTTTGGAGTTTCAATTTATTCCTCCCCTAAACTCGAACAAATTCATGTTCAAATTACTCGTGTTTTCGGTGTTACGGTGACTGGTACGAACTCGTACCTGTAACGAAATGTACGAACCTGTACCAGTACGAGTAACGTAAAGATGATGCTCGACTTCTCGTTACACAATCCAGTAACGATGTTATTTTGGTCATTTCAAAAATATTCTGTTCTCGACGCCGGCGGGCGCTTAACGGCTATTTTTGGGGGAATTTTTCCGATAAAAATAACACAGTATTGATCCCTTACTCCCCCTCTTTCAATTTGAACACAGTAATGGTGGTGGGTCTGCCACATAGTAAATTATACAGTGTACAGTGTACAGTGTACAGTGTACATTGAAGATTGAAGATGCTAGAACTGTACAACCTTTGTGCTGGTGGTGGCCCCTAAAGTGGTTACCCTCTTTTTTTGCGGTGTGTATACTAGACTCCAGGCAATAGTAAGTTTGTTTTGGGGAAGAAGTTGCCATCTGACTGCCTCTGGAGCACAGCACTGTAGTGACTGGCTATCAAATCCATACTATTGAAAAGCTTCTTTGAATTTCCAAAAAAAACATCATGGAAGGTGTCCGCTCCCTCTTCTTGACACAGCTACTAACCAAGCTGATGCATGTGGAGCCTTTTCTTGTAAGGCAAAGATCATAGGTGGATACTGAGCATGTTGAATCCAAAGTTGACAAGGGTGGGTGTTAGACAACAACAATATTGATATTGAATATTCTCTGTATCTATTTCTTTGGTGGGGAATCCTGCTTGTTGTTGCTAGTGTTCTTGCTGGTGTCCAAAGTAGGGGTGTTGTCATCCTTTTTGGCAGCGCAGTGGATTTCCTCCAGTTCCTTTTAAACAGAGGCCTTCAATACATTGGTAACCTTTGTGTTGATTCCAAGAGGGCATGAGCAGTTTCAATGCCTGTATATCATATTATTATGAGCAGAAGTACACTACTAATGCCTGTAGAGCTTGTCATGGTGCTGCTCCATGTTTCCGATGAAAAACCTGCCTGCAAATTTCATTTTCAAATCCCAAAACACCACTGTTGCATAGACAATTATCCCACCAAATACCATGGAAGTTTTTAATGCTTCTCTTAATGAGACAAAGGCTGCTTGAAGTGATCAAATGCAGAGGTTATTGGCACTATCTACTGACTGATTACTTTTTCCTTGGGGGTGAAAATAGATTATCTCCCATGCATTTGCTCTGGTGGAACACAGAAGATTGCAAAAAGGACAAAGGGTTGTACTTCAGTGCCTATCAATTGCAATCCTTCCCATGTAAGATATAATAGGGAGTAACATTTTGTTGTTGTTTTAGTCACAGCACTTCTTTTCAATGTTACTACCCACCATTCCCCGTGGTGTACTAGTTCACAGATAAGAAGAGTAGCTTCCTTCAGCAGTTTGGGGTCTCAGCACAGAGAGGTAGGGGTTTTTTCTTTGTTTGGGAATGACCAATTCTCTTCTTCTTTAATTAGTAAAGCAACTTTGGTTAGGAGAAATTCTAATGCATATCAAAACAACCACTAACATAGTTTTTTGTGAGCAACATTGTTGGTGAAATTCCATTTGATAAGATCACATGGTTTGAAACCATCACCATGTAGTTCTAGGACTGATTAACAACACTTTTTCTAGAACCTTTTGCCATTTTTTTAACAAACTATATCCAAAACTATCCATTTGCTCTGCTTCATTTGCCCATTTATACAGCTCCCTTTCAGCTACTCATGGTGTGTTGTGCGCTCTCGTGATGATCTTCCTTAGCTTTATCTTTACCTTTATTGGGGCAGATAGTGGTGACCTTTTCCCAAGGGGTGTTTTGATCATGTTGAGGACATTAACAGTGTTCAGCTTGGCATTGAGACTATCAAAGTTGGTCCCAATCAATGGCATTCCTAATTGTAGACTCTGTCAAGCAACAATTATCTTCTTCAACAGGAGGGCTGTACATCAATTGGTTGCCCAGATTTTCTGGGATACTGCTAGTGGGTCCACTGATGTGGATATTGGTTAGGCCAAACCATTTACTCATATCCTCCTTATCCTCAATGGTTTTGTTAAGAGAAGAACTTAAATCATTAATTCCATTGTCACAAAGAGTGTAACACTCAAAACAAATTTGATTTTGGGAGCTCCCCTAGAAAAACATGGGGTATTTCTTTGTGAAAAATAACCCACATTTTAGACAAATGACCTAGAAAAGAAGTTTGGAACCCACAAATAGCCCAGAAGTCATTTGGGTTAGAGAAGAACCAGCAGGAAGAATGTTAAGGATTACTTAGTGAAGTACTAGTTGAAGTTAATGAATCATTCTTCTTTTTTGGTGATCAAAGAGTTTTTTGTGTTTTTGTTGGTTCAAAATGTGGGTTATTACAAAATATGGGTTACTTTTTGTGAAAAACAATGCATGTTTCTAAAAAGTGGGTTATTCATGATTGTTGAAAAATAACCTACAAGATAATGCCCCTGTATATTGGATTTCAAAGGGGGGATGTGTGCATGGTTTCTGGAGGGCCCTGGTTTCAGTTCACAAATTATATTATTTTTGCATAAGGAATGTTAGTATGTCACTGTACTAGGCCTATGTAAATCATAATATTATCAACATTCTTCACTTGGTATTAGCGCACCACCATCAAAAACCAATAATTTTGGTCTTCCATCATTATTTTACACATGGTAAGCAAAAAATAACTAATGTTTGTATGTGTGATCTGCTCAACAAATCATGTACCTAAAAATTACCATGTATGCTGAGTACATGGGAATGTTGAGCTGCTCAACGGTTACTTGCAGGAATCTCACCTTGATCTTGAGCAAGCTCTCAATCTCAGGGAGTGTACCATAAATGTAACCAGAATTTTGTACCTAGCGGGTGGTGATGAAAGTTTGCACTTTACTTGAACTGAAACCACAGACTTGTCTGTCCCACGCTCACCTATTCCCAGAGGACATGGAAACCTTTTTATCAACTACACCTACTTCCATGCTTACATATTACCATTGAGTCTACAAGAAAACAATTCTGTCAAGTGTCAAACAAGCGTTGCTTGCTTCTGTCTCCAACACTTGCCCTATTACCCAGTACTTTTTGTCATTGCCCCATAGTAAACCACCACCGGAGAGTGCCCTCAAGCCCTGCTAGTCTTTGACGCCTACTCCAAAAGGAAACAACACAAACAACCTGTTGTGCCAGACACTTCTTGGGCTCCTTGTGTTACTTCTTCCAGTTTACTCCAAACCAAGCTCAATCAATTCTTTTAAATCTAGCAAAACAAACCCCTGGTGGCACTTCCACCAACACTCCTTGGAGGGAAGTGTCACCCCTCAGTGCAACTAGAAGCATGCTTTCCCCCAAAAGCTATGATCCTGGCCATATAGTGCCTCTTCTAGTTCACAAGGTAAGATATACTATTGAGATTTTTTTAACCAGAATTTTGTACCTGTTGAGGGGTGCATTATTAACATGGGAAAAGTTTGTACTGTGAGTTCAAGAGCTAAAGCTCTCAATACTACGCGTAAAACAACAATTGAACTTTCTTTAAACAAGTGAAGGGGTTTGGAACTTTCAATTAATGTTCCAAATGTTAGTAGTGTTAACATTCCAAATGTTATATTTACCGTATAGTTAGGCCTACATAGATCCTAGTATTATCCACATTCTTCATTTGGTAGCAAAACAGTCTTGCACCACATACCTAAAAAGGAAGAACGGATCTAAAAAAGAGGAAGAAGAGGACACCTCCCCTGCTAACTTTCAGACTGGTGTTAAAGAGAGCATTCAGGAAATTAAATTGAAGCAAAAACTACAGTACTCATGTCTACAAGGCCTACAGGATTAACATACTGTATGTTAATTTAACATTTCAAACCTCTTCTTTGAGGAAAGTTCAATTGTTATTTTATGCATAGTATGGTACCAGTTTAAGCAATATAAAATGCGTTAATCATAGAATCCTACTAGTATGCCCTACAGGGCAGAAAGGCATTCTACTCAAACACCACAATTATTACTAGTAGTACTAATAAAATCACCATTAATTTTCAAGCCAATTTTTTCCCTTTTGAGTACCAGATCCTACATAGATCTACAAGTATTTGGTCACTCTTTTGACCCCAAACAGTTTAATATTCAACCCCAAACAGTTCAGCAAGCTAACCACAACAGCTTTGGAAAGGCCTCTAATGAGATTCCCTTTGGGGATATGCTCAGTCATAGTGTTAAGAAGATTGCTGTATGTCATTGTTACATGATTAGAGCCCAGTGGGGAGCTGGTTCTCCATTAACAGCCAATATGGCCAAAATTGGCCCGTGGAGACCGGCTGCTGGTTAGAAAATAGGTCAGAACTCTATCAAGAAACAACTCTACACCACCAGACTAAGCACCCAGTCCAAGTTTATATGATTACTTAAAAGATCCTTGTCATTGGGAAGCCAAAGGATGCTGTAGCGGCTTAGAACTAGTCAGCCAAAGTTAAAGCAGTGGGTGGCCAAAAATTGTCAATTCAAGGTGTAATTTTTTATCACTTAACCTGGGATGTGAGGTATTGACAATTTTACCACGCCAGGCATGCTTCCAGGCAATACTGTGGTCATGGGACTAAAGCTCACTGGCACCCTATAGAGAGTACGTAGTCAGTAGGAATGTTGATTCCAACAGACCTGAAAATTTTAGAGGGGGCTGCAAGAAATTAAGTTTATAAGAAAATTTTCTGGTAGGAAAAACATGCTACCAGATTTTGACAATTAATGCTACCAGATGGCGACTAGAAATGCTACCATATGGTAGCAATTCTGGTAGAATTTTTTGTCCAAATCTGGTAGCATGTTTTTCCTCCTACCAGAAAAAAATTCTACTATTACAAGGAGAGTCCCCACATACCCTGTACTGGGACTGTCACCGGCAAGCCTCCTCCAGCATTTACCAGGAGGACTGTACTTCAGACTATTGGTAAAAATATCCATTACCAGAATGATTACAGTGCTACTACCACCAGATTGCGACTAGAAATGCTACCAGATTGCAACTAGGAATGCTACCAGATTGTGACCATAAATGCTACCATAATATATGCCACGCTACCAGAATTTTTTTCAAAGTTCCCAGCCCCCCCCTTAAGTACTACGAATTTCGTAACAATTGCACATCGTCTCACTCAGAGAGCAAAAAGTAATAATTTGAAGTTCTAAACTTCGATTTGAAGTTATGAACTTTTGCTCATACATCATGTACCAGGTTCTACTGAGCTAGTTATTTAAAATGACTGAATGGCCAAATCATGATTCCCTCAAAACAAAAAAATGGGTCAAGGCAATCAATCATGAATGCCATCCAAAAACTAGCTCAGTAGAACCTAGTAGACTTTCTACCTGAAGTTCTGAACTTCAAACCAAAGTTTAGAACTTCAAATTATTACTTTTTGCTCTCTGGGCAAGACGGCTTGCAATTTGCAATCGTTATGAAACTCGAAGTATGAGTATAAATCTTAAGATGACAGGACTGTTCAAACAGCTAGCGACCCTCTATTTAGCAGCGCCAACCATGTTGATTCCTCTTGCGGGTTTAGTACATGGCTCCAGTAGGTAAAATCATCAATACCTCATGTCCCTGGTTATGCGTGGACCGTGCGACGCAACACAGTTACTCATTCCACAATAATAGGTCAATATGTAGTACTCTATTTTTCCCAAAATAATTGTCCAGTATGGAATGGCCCTATAGAGGAATGTGTAGAATAAGTACTAAAAGTACTACAACTATTGTATTACCATTTGTATTTAAGAGTATTAGCACTATTACTACTACTATTGGTACCAATGCAGCACTAATTACTAGTATTGGTACTGTTCTTGAAGTCTGCCAGTACTGAGCGTGCAAACAAGGCAAGCTTTTCTTGGTTGCAAATGATCGATACCGGAAGCTCCCCTTGACAAGTAAGCTTTTTTTTCCCAAGGTGTGGAATCTTGTAAGTGTTGTCACCACCAACACCAAGTGACTCCTCCATTGCACACTGTAGTGACAAAAATACATTGTTTAGAGTCTCACGTTTGGACTCTTCAAATGCAGCAATCACATTGGCAATCAATGTGTCCATGTTTGAAGACCACTTCTTGTGCTGAAGGCTCTGGATAGAATTGAAGAAACCCAAATCAAGAACATTAAAGTCAGGACTGTTAGGTGGTTGGAGCTTCACAACAATATTCCATTTCCTCTCACGAGCTGCAGCTGTCACAGCTGCTCTGGTGTTGAGCATATGAGGCTTAGCATTGTCTTCCTGGATTACACAACTTGGAAGAACACCGTTGTCTCTGGTGAACTTCTTGTAAATAGCTGGTATAACTTTTTTAATCATGAGCTTCCTGTACACTTCTTCATTGACGTTAATAGGGTGGGGTTCAATTGTACCTCTGGGTCAATTCACAGAAGATCTCTGGGCTGGTCTGTACTCCACAATAGACCAGATACCAAGCTTACCATCGAACCAAGCATTTCTACTACCATGATCAAATCTGGGCCTTGCTGTTGCACATAGAAACATCACCTTCTTGATATGCTCCTTTGACGGTGTCTTGCCAACTGGTTCAAACTCTTCATCAAGTAGGAGATATGTGTTGCTTGTTACTTCCTTCATGAAGAACCATTTCTCATCAACATGTACCTTGTCATACATTGGATCAAAGACATCATTGTGATCAATATGAGACAGAGCAAATCGAATCCTTTCCATTTTGTTTGCTTCTTTTAGGAAAGGCTTCAAAGTGCAGCTGTATCTCTTGATTGCTCCAAGTTTAACAAGACAGTGCAGGCTGGTGACTGGAATATTGATTGCTGCTGATAAGGTCCTTAGATCTCCTCTTTGTTTGTATGGAACGTCCCTCATTCCTTCAAGATCAGAGGTAGGCCTAGCCTTCCTACCACACTTGGACCTGTTGTTTGACACATCACCTGCAGGGCATGTTTCATCATCCTGAGTTTCTAAATACTAGCGCTTCCAAATTCTTGCACAAGTTCTAGGGGAAACTTTGAAGGCCTCCGCTGCTGCCTTCAATACACCCTTAGCAAGTTTCCCATTCCCTTTCTTATGTGGAAGCAGTTGGTGCAGAACAGCTTGTTGTTGATTGTTGGTCAAGTTGATAAGGCGCCATTGCGTTGGAGGAGGAGTAACAGCCGGAGGAGGAGGGAGCAGCTCAGTTGGTTCAAGGAGATCCATTGCGAGATCTATTGCGTCTATTCCCATAGCCATCTTGGTGTGCGTTTGCTTTAGAAAAGAGTAGCATTCAATAAAGTGAGTGGATGAAAGTATGGGGAAAAAAGCAGCACAACAGGCAACAAAGAGACGATCCATTAGCAGGTTGATTGGCAAGTTAAACGGAGGCACGATTCCCTCTTAATGGAAGCAATGCTGGAGACGTGAGTTGGTCTTCCCCCCTCTTAGTGGAGGAGCATTGGCGCGTAGGCTCAACGTCGACGAGTCACTTGAGGTGCAAAGAATGAGAAGGCTTGAATAGCAAAGAAGCCGGTCTTAGTCAGTTGAGTGGAAAAGAAGAGAATGAGAAGAGGGTGGAAAAGAGGAAATTGGGAAGTGTAGTGAAATCAAAAGTGAAAAATAACATGTGAAAATAACATGGGGAGCATTTTTGCATCAAGCGCACAGCACTTTTTTTTCTCTTCGCAGCGATTCTCCATCTCAAAATTGAAAAAAAACTGCACAGGCCCGAATAGGCTTGGCCAGTTTTTTGCTTCCACTTGCCACCAACAATGACTGCACAGGAACATTCTCAATACGTACGATAAGTATATCATGATTAAGCTCTCATTCTGGGCTTTTTAAATAAACCGGTCTGGTCTTTAACTGACCAGTAGAACCCAACTGACAGTAAAATCACATTTATATGCCAAATCAGAGCCTCTTTGAATAGCTATAAAGAGTGCACCAATTCTATAAACTTATTGCAATTAACACAAGTGTATACCACTGCAATAGATCTGTTTAATGCAAAAATAAGCATTCCAATCGCCCAAAAATTGAGCTTATTCCAACCCAAGAGGTGCATATTGACCTATTATTGTGGAACGTACTCGTACTTTACTACGATATTTCTGTCGCATCTGTGCAATGAGACGCAACGGCATGCAAGAAGAGAGACGAATACTGTAACAACAACGACGAACAAGGAATGTACCGTATGGTTCGTACCGGTACGTACTATCAAATAAATTGTATTATTTTACAGAAATTGTTTCTTTTACTGTATCTACGATTCAAAAACACTGATGATATTCAATATTCAATTCTCATTCAAAGTTAACGACAACTACTAGAATGAAAAGCAGCAAATTTATTCGCTTCTGTGTTTTCTGGGCAACAATTGCAACAACACCATACTTCTGGGCTGATGCTTTCGTCTTCTCATTTTCTAGCAAAAACCGATACGCGAGAGCGTATCCCCAGCGTGGTTCATTTTCGCTTCATCAAACTGTTGAAAGTTCAACGAAGAGTGGGGTGGCTATTGATTCTGTCGTTCAAGCTGTGAATGAGTTGTTTCCGCAAGATGGACTAGAACAACGAATAGCATTGAGCCGCAAAGATGGATACTGGCCTTTCATCAAGGCCGGTGAAGATCCACCTCAGGAGCTCGTTTATGGCGAATTCGATATTTTACTACTGCAAGAATCTTTAAAAAGGGCCCGCGAGCTTCTAGGAAAGGACGATAAAGACATTATCTTTTGCGACCTAGGAAGTGGTACTGGTCGATTGGTATTAGCCACTGCGGCATTGCATCCAACCTGGAAATTATGTCGAGGAATCGAATTATTACAATCTATTCACGAAGAAGCAGTGGAAAAAATCCAATCATGTCGAATAAACAATTCATACAACAATGATTCACAAAAATTCGACGACGAAAAGGACGAATCAAATGTTGAAGCGATGGAAAGTGTCGGTATTGATTACGACCCAAAGAATACCACTGCAATTGAGTTTTCATTGGCCTCGAACGTTGGACCGTTGCCATTAGCACCGATAGAACTCGAATGTGGTTCATTTATGGATCCTTATAGTTCTTTTTGCGATGCAAATATTTTTTTTTGTTTCTCATCAGCAATGCCAAAACATATCATCATCGACCTAGCGCGCTCCATAGGGCGACAGTCTCTTCCTGGTACAATTATCATTACGACAGAATATCAATTACCTTTAGGCGGCATCTTGGACCCCTTGCCAGATGACCCAGAATATCCATATGGGAGGTACGAGCTAGAATTGGTTGACACTCTATCAGGCGATTGCACGGCTGTTGGTGGAGAATCGGATGTATTCATCCATCGCGTAGTCAAAAGTTTTGGCACTGGGGAGCGTCGAGTTCAACCACCCATTCCTGAGAGTGAGATCGCGTATCGTGCAATTCAATTTATGGAAGAAAGAGATCCAAATATATTTTTGCGACAAGTTTCGAACCAAATGGCGTATTTAGGATTTCCAGAATCCTGGAGACCAAACATATAGCGCAACGACTATGAGAAAACAGAGTTACTGCCGATCAATGTTTGACAACTCGACTTATCCATTTATTCTTCGAACAAACGAAGGATGTGGTAGATACTGCATACGTCGCTAGCAATTGATACGCATACCGAAATCAAGAACCGCAATACATTTCGACAATGATGCCTGTAAATCGTTGAAAACCTATCGGCTAGTGATTCACTCATTAATGTCTCGAGAATAATTTTCCTGCACGATTTCTCTCTGCAGTCGCTAGAACATTGATTCCACAACCATCGTCTTTCTGATTGGCACCAATGGGACAACCAAGACCTTATCAAAGTAAAACTGTGGAGTGAAACAAATCTAGCTGCCGGGTGGTTAAAAACAAATAGTTTCCTATGGGTTGCTAGTTCAATCGATATCGCGAAGAGTGAAATTTCATTAATATGCATTGATTATTGTTGTTCCGTTGGATTAATCTGAATTCTATCATCAATTCTGAGAATGGTGATTGCGGCTTCTGTCGCAAATCGGAGACTCTTAATCTTCGAGATTGCAGGTTCCACGACGCCTGCAGCCAAGCTATCTCGAATTTCACCATTAACAAGATCCAGACCGTAATTCTTTAAATCATCGTTTTCGCAATCTGGCCTCTGGGACTTGGAATGAATGGATTTCAATTTGCTCACCAATTCTGCACCATCCTTGGCAGCATTGACGGCCAAAGTCTTTGGAATTACCAACAGAGCATCTGCAAAAGCTTCCACTGCCAGTTGCTCTCTAGTATCTAGTGTTTTAAGGGCATATTCTTGCAAATAAACATTGAGAGCTGTTTCAACAGCGCCTCCACCAGGTACGAGGGAATTTGATTCCAACATACGCTTAATGACACACAGAGAGTCGTGCAGGGAACGATCGATTTCATCCAATAGGTATTCATTGGCACCCCTCAATACAATGGTCGACGCTCCAGATCCTGAGCATCCAAAAATTTTGAGAAGTTCACCATCCCCGACTCGAGTTTCCTGAATTGCTCTGCATTTGCCGAGTGCCGATTCGTCAAAGGATTCATCCCCTTCCATATCGGCCATGGTAATAACGACTTGGCCCCCAGTGGCCTTGGCAAGCCGTTTCAAGTCTTCCTTTGGACAGCGGCGAGCGCAATAGACACCGGCTTCAACAAAGTATTTCATGCAGGTATCATCAATCCCCTTTGTAGTCAAGACTACTTTCGCTCCAGTGTCCAGAATCTTTTGGATCTTTTCTTTCGTCAAATCTAGTTCTCGCTGTTTGATACGCTCGATTTCTTTGGGGTCCTTGATTTGAATGTTTACACCCATTGCCATTCGGTGGCGCTGCAAGTTCATATCGATTAGTGCAATTTTGACTTCCGATGTCTCGTCGTCGGGGTCTCCCAAAAAAGTGGGCATACCCTGAGATGCTCGCGTGGCATTCAAAACAAAACCTCCCTTCATCAAGTATGACTCCAAGGACGACTTTCCATGTACCTTGAGAATATGGATAGCGCTCAATGGATAAATAGTCTTCTTCTTTCTGATTCCATTCTTCCCGCTGACTTCTTTCGTGTGAGCTACCGATTTGACAGCATCGACAGCCAGTTCCGCAAAAAAGTTACCTTCCTTACCAATGATTTTGGACGACATGCTTGTTTTTGCAGCCTCCAACAAGTGTTTTGAATCCAGTAACGAGATAGGGGTCAGAATACTTTCCTTGATGTACGCGATTGCTGCCTTGAGTGCTGTCCTGTAACCCGCCAAAATAGTTGTGGGGTGCAGACCCTGTTTTTGAACCAAATCTCCTAGACCACGTTTCAAAAGCTCGGCCGATAACAACACGACCGAGGTCGTCCCGTCTCCGACCTCCTTGTCTTGGAGGCGTGCCAGATCTACCAACAGGCGCGCCGCGGGATGTTCGACTTCTAATTGTTCGAGAATTGTGGCTCCGTCATTTGTAATGGTCACGTCTCCAATGTCGTCGACCAGCATTTTATCCAAACCGACCGGTCCAAGGGACGATTTCATAATGTTGGCCAATGCCACGACAGCGGTTACATTTCCCACTCTTACATCCTCCCCGGATTCTCGAGATCCTTGTATAAACTATGTTGACAAAAATGTATTTGAATTTCATGCATCGACAACCATCCCGCACAAAAAAGACGCAATTGAATGTGAGCAAGATTGACGGTGGCATTATCATCATTATCGGGGTTTTAAAATCATTTGTTATCTTTCTCGTTACCATTCCCGGTCGTGTGTACAACCCTCGAACTACATGGCATTGTTTATTCCCAACATACGGCATGTAAACGTCTGTCCTTCAATTTTACTTACAAGACCGCTAGCAGCGGAAGCGTTAGGATTACTCATCGTGGCTTTCTTTTTCTCTCCTCTTTTTTATTTAAAAAATTTACAAACTACTTGAGCTGGGACGAAGTAGACTGATATGGGTAAGTTATCGAGGGGATGATTGGAATGAATACATGCAATCCGTCGTTTGACCTAATGGATGCAAAAAAATGCCTCCAAGCCAACGATAGCATTTTCTAGTTTCCTCGGTTCAAATTCCACATCTGCGGACGGGGACGAGCGACGACGGTCAGAGAAAAACTAAATCATGTCTATGTTTCACACACTTTTAAATTTGAGTTGAATTTCTCATACGACATGTAACAACGTACCAAGTAGTACCATTACGTTATGTTCTACTACCCTTCATACTTCATACGGCATGAGTCATTTTTTCATCTGGTGATGTGTCCTACGGTACTAGCTCATTCTCTCCTGCTGGTTCTTGATTCTTGATAGTAGTGAGACTACCAAATATTGTTTCTTGAAGTATTCATCACCAAAGCTCAACTCTTGTTCTTTTACTAGTCCTACTAGTACTGCTCTCTTACAGAGGAAAAAATTCTTGTTAACTTCTGAAGCCACAACAACACCAAGAAGCACTACCACCAGTAGTACTAGTAGTAGTACAACTACTACTAGTAGTAGTAGTGGTAACACTGCTGCTGCTAGTACTACTTCACATAAACCATTTTCATGGTGATGCAAAAAATTGCACCGTAAAAGACCCTCTATTATCATACACACCCCTGGTTATAGTACTATCTGGCTCACGTTATTTTTCCATCTGTTTATATCAATATTATCTTTTCTTAAAATAGTATAGTTATTGGTTAACAATAGTATTTTTACCATGTGCACAATAGCAAGCATCGGTCGCCCTAGTAGAAAGAATTAATTGGGTTGAGAAAAAAGAATATTGTGCCTATCCTGATTTCCTTTAATCTATTTTTGGTACAGGTCAATTCACTCTCCTGGTGCATCAAGAACACCTCAACCACAACACTCCAAGTTGCTATGGGGCACTCCCCCAAGCTAAGAGTTTATTGCCAATGGTGTTATAAAAAGGACCAATGGATTAAAGAACCAAACAAAGAATGCAATACTAGACCCAAACTTTATTGTGGAACTAGAAGGCAAAATGATGGTGTTGTCACGTCTAGACAGCTCTTACATCATCTTGGTGACAATGATGATTGGTCCTATCACTATGGTTATTGCCTGGGTGGTGTAAAAGATTTTGCAACCTCTGTACCAGGCTTGATTGGATCATAAATTTTTTCTGACAAACACCCAACAATCCAGGTTCTACTTTTCCCAAAAATCTTGATTTGCAGGTTATGTTTGACCTAACCTGTCAACCAATTGACCGTGCCTTGTTGGAGGACAAACTCAACAACACGACATCCTCTTTTGAACCTTCTCCTTCCCCTCTCCTCAAGATGCCACAAACACATGTGACAGAGGCATCAACAGCAGTGAATGTCATCCCCTGTCAGTTTTTAACCATCCGGCACCACAAGAAGTTTCTATCCCTCCCATATCTATGGTACACCCAATCATCATCACCATGTTTCCAACAAATTGAAGCTAAAAATTAAGCTCATGAAGCTAATGCACAACCATAACATTCCTCTGACTACTACTAGTACTTGTTCCACTAATAACACCATGATTGCTGAATCTCTGTACTAGTGCTACTACTGACCAAGAAATATCCTCTGACTATTCTAATTGGACAACTGAAACAAGCACCATCAAATTGGTAGGGCTGCACAATAGTAGTATTGCTTGATGCTGCTGTTAGAGAGGCTTTATTTACTACAAATTTATTGTTACAAGTCTTTGAAAAAAATCACACCAACAAGGAAGCCTGCCCTTGCAAATCCAATGCCAGCACAGTTGTCACCAGCACCAGTGTCCAAGTGATGTATCTAGACTACTATTGTAAGAAGGAGCTTCTTGGAGGTCCTTCCCAGGTGCATAGAGCTCACTGATATTCAAGCATCCCAACAACACTGCAATTAGTTGAAATAATGAGCATCACAATAGAGTGGATCGGATCATGAGCTGAATCTTACTAGATTGCTAGATTGTGCACCAGATTTTTGCAGATACTATTTGTTGGGGACATGAAGACTCTACAGTTTTGTGAGATAATACTACTAGTAGAAGTGATCTGTCATAGTAGTAGTACTAGGCCTGCAAACGCTACTGCCTTTTGGAGAATTAGCACTCTCGTGTCATATTGTTGGAAGACTGTTCTCTTGTGTCATAATCATTGTTGCACAGTTCTAAAAACCCTGGGAGAGCTAGGTGTCCATGAACTGGAGTGTTGGGCAAATCTAGCTGATGTTTGCTACTGGGTGCTGGTTGTTGTTCCAAAATAGCTCCTCACAAAGTGACCAAAACACAATTTAGACCAACAAAGGACTAAGTTCCAAGTCATTAACAATGAATTACTACTTATATTTTGTGTAGACATCCTCAGTGTCAACAGTGGGCTCCTCAAGAAGCTTCAAACTGGTTCAACTAAGGTACAGTACAAGTAATAGTACTAGCAGCAGTACCAGTAGTAGCTGGTGGCTGGAAAATTTGGGTTAATTTTTCTGATTGAACTTCTATTGAATTAAGTGGTGTTTTTTGCTGATGTAGATAATCAAAAAATAGCAGAAAAATGTTTTTCACTACTTGAATGAAATAGCACCAAGTTTTCATAAGGATTTCAAACATTCCATTTTGTTTGGCATCAAACCAATTCTTTGTCTATTTTTATTAGGAAGAAAAAAATGTAGTACTAGTAGTAGTACTAGTAGTAGTAGCAGGAGTTCACAATAATTACTCCTAGCTACTAGAACTAGTAGTAGTTTTGGGTAGGTACTACTTCTCACTCATGTGTTCCTGAACTGGAGGAGTTGAGATGGAATCAAGACCAATTCCATTGAGAGGTGCAATCTCATCGTCGTGCACAGGGACAGTGCCTGTAAAAGAGTACTATGACCTGAAAGCCATGCATGCTAAAGTTGTTTGTGCTACATCTAGATTCATTGTTGGGTGGAAACAATGAGAAGAAAACAGTGTTTAACATTGAAGAGAAAACAAACAATTGGTTGTTCTTTTGACTCAAATAATAGCAAGTTTCTTCCCCACAATTGACTACCTGTGGGGATGTATTTGATTTGAGATCAAAGATACTACCAGATGAAAGGGCTGCTATGGGAATCAATTGATCCATTAATCAGTCTACCAACTCATGAGAAGATTTAATACGTCATACTAAATCTTATTTCACCAGCATTAACAATTTAAATGACACTAAGATCAACAGCAATTTTGCTGTTTTTCCGATCTTAGGTTTTGGTACTACCATAAAAGTGCATACCTAGTATTTATTTGATACCAAAACGCTATGGCCTGTTTCAAACTTTGTGTCACGATTGTATTCTTGCCAACCGACGCCTTCATCGTATTCTTCACGCTGGTGCCTTTGGATTTGTCTTTTGTTTGACTTGGTTACTGTTTGATCCCGGTTTCTTTTTTCTTAGAGTTGTCCCTTGGTTCTTCTTTCTATCTTTCGAAGCATTCCATTTCCCCTCTTCTTTTCTGACTAGTTCTATTGAATTTGCCGCACCATAAGTGTCCTCTCCTCCGCAGTGCCAAGGATTCGAATTGTTTCCATTCTAAGAAAATCATATCACGGGAGAACGAATGAAACAATCGCGATAAGTACAAATACAATAGAAGTTTTTGAGACCATTGAAATATGAAAACGACATGGATATGGTCTGTCAAAGCAACATCAGCCACTCTTTTCAAACAAAAAGAACATGACTTACTTTGTCGACAAGTTTTCCCCATCGATTCTTTTTGCCTTCTTTCACCCGCAACTCAGCTGGTCCATGAGCAAATACACATTTATTTTTCTTTTTCATTGGACAAAATGCTCCGAGACTCATATCCCAGTGATTGCAAAGTCTGGTTCGAAATTTGGGGTCCTCCATGCATCGCTTTGAGGCTGGATCACGTTTTTTATAAAAAGGTTCGATGTGTCTCGACCATTCATCCTGCGATCTGCTCCAACCGCGATTATTAAATGTTTTAGCAGCAATACTGCCTTCCCATACAATAATATCTTCATCGACTTCGTCGTTCGAATCACATGTTACCACTTGGGCAATCTCCAAGCATTGCGTATCGGTCGAATCATTTTTCAACTCTTCGGAAGAGATGACAGCCTCATTATGATTGGTCGGAATTGTTTCTTCTTTGACGGAGACAGATATTGGTGCAGTAGAAAATTCTCTGGTTTGAAACTTCGCCGGAGGTATGACGAACTTCAATACAAGTGGGTCGTCATCCGTTAAATTTTGTCCACAAAATGTGTAACAATGCATGATTAAAGCCGGAAATATCTTTGTGAAGTATTTACATAGTGCATTCTGATTTGGAGCCTCATTCAAACGGAATGCTTCTGGCAGCTCCTCGAAATGATGATGCTTATTTCGAATCAGTCGCAACAGGTCTCGAACGCAGGAATAGTCATATGTCCGAAACTTTTGTACATTGTCAACGAGTGAACTATCTAGCTTTTCTTCCCAAGAGGTTCCCACAACTTCAAGTGCCCCACGTTCAATAGCGAAAGACCCGAATACATTCGATGACCCCGGTGCAATGGTATCGGTTTCTAATCGATCTGAGAAATCACACAAAAACGTCAGCTTTTTCTCTGCATTCCAGAAGAATGGATGCTCGCATACTTCTTTCGCTGTAGGGCGTAGTCTTGGATTTCGATCCAGCATCGAGCGAATCAAACGATACGCTTCTGATGAAATGCTTGTCAGTGGCTTTAAATTAGGTCGATTGTGCATTATGTTGGCTTCCCTCTCGAACCATTCACCGAAAGGGTGGGATCCCGGGATCAATAGAGAGTAGAAAATGCACCCGAGAGAGAAAATATCCACAGATCTGCTTGTCCGAATACTTGGCAGAATGTCGTTTCCTTGGCCTTCCTTTGATTCCCCTATATTGCTAGCACTGTCTGTGGATCGAGCAGATGTGTCAGATGTCAAACGCATCGCCATTACTTCAGGTGCTTGCCACCCCACAGTTCCAGGTCCTACTCCGATTGAGTGTACGCCCGATTTGTTTCCGCGAAAAGAAGAGTCCCCGATAAAGCTAGCACCAATACTACTTTGTCCGATCAGCTGCTTTCCTAGCCCCATATCTGAGATTTTTGCATCATAATAGTTGCGGGTAAAGGTTGCAAAGATCGGATCTTCTTCTTTTACTTTTTTCTTTCCTTTCTTTGAGACTGCGAGCAAAATATTCTGAGAAACCAATAGAATTTCATTTGCGTGAGAGAAACAACATAATTCGAGACACTGATTGTAAAAATTGTTTCAGAACGACAACGTCACTCACTGCTGGTTTCAAATCTCTATGTACGATTCGGAGAGAATGCAGGTGCTTCACTCCTGAAGCAATCTGCAATAAGATTCTAGTAGTAGCTCCCACGCTCTCGTTTGAGAGAACGCATGCTTCTTTGTCAGCATTCGGCAGTATCGAAGAACTTTTTTCTTGTTGCTTTTCCCGAAGAACACCAATCAGCTCATGCAATGATAAATCACAGAGCTCCAGTGCAAGGTAAACGAAGTCACCCCGTACCTCCTTGAGAAAATACCGGACTACGTTAGGATCACCGTCACTTTCAATAAGTAGAGAAATTTCACGATCGGCACTAGCATGGTACGCCTTGAGCATTCGCTTTACTGCGACATCTCTCCCATCTAGAACACCTTTATAAACGACTGTACCATGGCCTCCATATCCAAGTACGTCTTCGCTGACTGAGATCACCTCTTGATGATGTGACTTCTGTAAGGCTCCGTATTTACCACCAGAGTCTTCGTTAAAGGAGATAACTCCATTGATCTGGTCCTTTTGCTCAATGGGGTGGAGAGAATTCCGTGCACCTTTCTTTTCATCCTTCAAACGCTTCCGACGACCAAGTTCAAACGAAATAACAAACAAAAGGGCGATTGTTGGCGGCAACCATGATCCTAAGACTCGAAAGAGGGAGGAGGTCTTACTTGAACGTTTTGGGGCTCCGAAGAGGTCCCGTGGTGAAACATAACCATATACGGGATGAACGAAACCACCCAAGTCCTTTGGAGAGATGTAGCCATATTTTGGATGGAAAAATCCCTCTTCTTCTTTTTGAATGACAAGGCTTGAATCTGGAAAATCGTTTTCTCCATCACCAATTGGGAGAGGTGATTTAATCAATTTCCCACCCGGTTGGGTAGGAAGCTGATCTATAGTGGCACTACTAGTCGACTGATCTGAACTTCGTAATGGAAGTGCGTAAAGTTGACCATTGGACATTGCACCGACTACCGGAGTGTTTGTTACTGATGCCATCCTTGACTGGCGTTCCATCTCTCGCGTTAGATCACGGATGTTAGCTTTTGGATCAGGAACGTCAGGAATGATATCTACACGCAAAGTCACTCCCGTTTCAGCATCCATTGCGTATACAATAGGTGAATTCAAGGATTCGCTTGCAACCCATGCAAATTTATTGTTCTCAAAGCTCCACAGAGCTGCATTACCATTTGGAGTTGCAACCAAGGAGTTTGGAAGATCCATGGCTTCATTTACCGTGGTTGCGACAGCTTTTGATAGCAAGGACGAGCCATTCGGGCGTATCGTTTGTTCAGGATTCGAAACACTCTCCCTCATCATTCCACGCATATCTTCTACACTCATGACTTGACCAACAGAGAATTGAGCATCTGTAAATCCCGTCTTTGCATCTTGAATCGATACCTCGTGATCGACTCTACCGATCCAAACTATGTTCGGATCATCCAAAGTAGGTAGAGACGATTCATTGTCGTCTTCGTCGTCTGGAATAGTCGTAGCAGTTGACGAAACAACGCGAAGCACTTCTCCTGTAGTGCCGTCTAAAGCAGCTGTCGATGCATACTGGGAACCGACATAGAATCGACCCTGTTGATCCAAAAAGGGGGATTTGGCGACGAGATCCTTCACAGGAGTGGCGATGGTCATATCGTTTGTTGTTGTGTAGATGGTGCCGTCCACGGACGGAACAACTTTATACGAGGCATCGGAAGCTGACTTTTTGGTTGTTGTGGTACTCACAAGGGGCTTTAAAATTGGACTGCATGAATCATTTTTGGTTGACTCCATCATCAAATACGAAGAGGAGGAGGAAGAAGAAGAGGGCACAGATGATATGTCCTCCGATTGCCTCCACAAAACAGTCCCCGATTCTTTTGAAATTCCCGCTATTGTTCCATCTACTGTTGCTACAAGTATGATGTTCGGCCCCGTGCGTGCAGAATTTTTTCTCTCGATATTTTCATCTTTGTCTTCGTCATTGTCCCAATCAATTCCTTCAGAGTCTATGTCTACGTCAATATCGACGTCGCTTCCAAAACTCCGATGCACAGGTTCATGAAGGTCATCAATATCTAAAGTATCTGTATCATCGAAATGAACAGGATCATTGTTGTAATGATTTCCACGATTTTTTGTTGAACTTCTAACTACTTCTGCTGCTACGCTCACTGACTTCCGAACGTGCGATGAAGTTTCTTGAAATACTGCGTATGCTAGTCCTACCCAAAGTAGGACAGGTAGCAACTTCGTCTTTTTCTTACGGATGAGCGGTGACGATTCATGCGGTACCGCTGCGTAACAGGCCTCGCTCATATCCATTGTCCTGTCCTATTCACTATCTTGTCCTAATTTTTACAATCGATTTCTCTGCTTTCGTTTGATATCTTGTAGTGCTCTTCGTATAATGCAGAGTACTGGAACGAATCATCACCGTGATGTTGTGTCCGGTATTGAACCTGCCGACAGAGCTCTCAGCCGCAAAAAGAAGGGAATGAGAGCTCCGGTTGAAACGTGCTCATGACAGCATATTTTGTATTGAAAACCTACGTAAATGCCACGAGTACAATGTGTCTGTATGAATCACGAATAGCTAGTGAATAACCTCTCTGTTCATTACAAACAATTGGCTCGCTAACGCAAATACAGTAGTTTCTACGGTGCAAAAACTAAGTTAGTGCCAGTAAGGTTGAAGTTATGCTCTGAAAAGAATGTAGTATTACAAGTAGAGGCTATTTAATGAAAGCACTGTGGCTGTTTTGTCGTTTCTGAAGATTTGTGTATGCTGGGTATTATATTGTTGTTGTTATTGTTTGTAAGCAGAAGAGGTGTTCTTATAAACATGCCATTGGAAGTTCTAGTAGTAAGAAGAAGAAGCAACAAGAAGAACTCTTCCTCCTGTTGTTGAAAGCACCAGAACATACTAGATCCAATTGGTTGTGTAAGACCAAGTTGAAACCAACACATTTCCAAATATCTTCCCTGTAATTTTTGAAAAGTTCTTGCCTTAGCAATATTGATTGGGAATTGAGTCAATTATATTCCCTTGTGACTTGTTTGAGTTTGATGATGGTGGATACCACTAGTAGTAGTAATTCTTGATTCTTGTTCATATTCTTGTGGACAACTAAATTTTGTTGTTGCTGCCATGTTTTGAGGAGTTAAAGTGGCAACTTTTATTAAAAAAAAAAAAAAAAACTTAATATTATATTTAACCTCGTGAACTAGAAGAGGCACTAGGAAGGCCAGAACCATGGCTTTCATTAGAAAGAATGCTTCTAGCTGCTCCGAGGGGCGGCGCATCCCTCCGAGGAGTTGTTATGGAGGCGCGACCAAAAAGTGGCAACTTTTATTAGTCTGGGAAGATTTAAGGTTATTCTCTTACATTTTGGAACACCCAATCACAACTTGAACTTACAAGCATTTATTTGAGTCTTAGGAGCAATTTCTTGATTCTCCACCTACTACTAGTACTAAATCTACTAGGAATCACCAATTGCAAATATGACTGTTTTTTTTAGTCTTGGGAGCAATTTGGTTCTCTTAAATCTACCAAAATGACTAATCGTCACAATAATGACTGGTATTTGAGTCTTGGGAGCAAGCTGGTTCTCTTAGAAAATACTGAAATGACTGACTGTCACAATAATGACTGAATGTTTAAGTTTAAAATGAATAAGCTGTTTTTTGTCAAGGTACTAATTTATTTGCAAAAAATGGTATACTGGGGTTTACATGGATTATGCACTATAAACAAGTTTCTTTTTGTTTCTTTGGTAAGTCCAGGACTGTGAGAATTCTTCAAGGTTACTGGCTACCATGCACAAAAGACAGTGGTAGTTCAGTGCACCGTAGCCAACACATCACTAATACAGCACTAGAAACAACCATACAAACATCTCACAGGTCCTGAGCACCAACAGACTTCTCTCATCTAACCTCCACAAAAGGCCATCAGAACAAGACATCACAATAACAACAACAACAACAACAACAACAAGAGGAAGCATCATGAAATTTCCAAGAAGCAGAGCAGGAGGAACAACAAGCACCACCAGCACCAGAAGCCAAATATCCTCCTCTTCATGAAGGATGAAATACCAAAGAAGAACGCATAATGCCAGCTACTAGTAGTAGTACAGGTGCAGCAAAAATAAAAGTTGCTCCTACCAATAAATAAAAATGAAATAGACAGCACATAAAGAAAGAAGAAGAAGCCAAAATCTGTGGAAATAGTAGTACCAATAAAAAGAACAAACAAACCATGAAGTTCTTTTTGTGGAGCCATGAGATGACTCAACGGTAGTTCCAGATATCCTAACAGCATTCTATGAAAAGTAATTACCCCCCCCCATAAAATTGTCAGGACCAATGAAAAAAAAACATAGAAACAACAATCAGATATTCCACATGTGGTGGATGCAACTTCACCATACTATGGGAGAAGGCAAGAATTTAATTCATTCTTTGAGGTCTTGAGCACCAATCAAGTTGTTTCTTGAAAATTTTCATTCTGAAACAAAAACATCAAATAATGACAGCTATATTTGATTATTGGTACGTCTAAAGGGAAGAGATGGCCATACACCCAATCTAAAGTGGAGACATGCTTCCCTAGGGCAAAAGTGCACTTCAAATTTCACAGCAAGACATCTATTTGGACAGAATGCTAGAAGGACACAAAATCTGCTATTACACACTTGCCACCGAAGTGCCAACTATCAAACAAGCAGAGCATTGGCACAAAAAGATGTTCAACATGGAAGTAATTCCCATAGCAAAAGTCTAGACTTATCCAAGAGAGGCTAACAAGGACACTATGTTTGCCGTCACCACTGGCCAGACTCCAATACCATGAACTGCAGAAAAGAGATATTATTCAGTGCACCTTGAAAAGAAGACTGTAGGGATGTTGATATGTATGGTATCATTTTGGGAATTGATGGGTTAGAATTTACGGGTTGCTGGTTAATGTCTATGTGTTAGCATTCGTCTCCGTTTTCTAGTATTGAGATTGTCTGTACAGCTTCCGGCGTGCCATTTAAGTTTGAATAATTGTGATTTGTCTCTGGTTTGTTGTACATGATCAGGACATGATGTCCACATGTTGTATATTACATTGTATGGTCTGAATTATTTGCTCTTCATGTGGACAGTTGGAATGTGAATAATTTATACCGCTTTAGCCTCTTCTTCATGTTTCTGTGCAATCCTTCCTTCATCGAAATTTTCGTTGAATGATGATGCGTCAACGGAAGAGATTGAAGTCGAGAGGAAAAATGCTTGTTTGCCATAAAATCTGAGGGAAAGCAAGTGACGCAGGTATGATAGATGCTGCAAGCGCGTACGCGTCGTCATTGAGATCACTTCAGGATGTGTTCAGATTGAAAGCAGCAAAGAATTCTTGATAAGAAAGCTCGAAAACGCGTGTATATTTGAAGGTGGTAACGTCTTAGTGTCGTCTCGTATCTTTTTTCAATCGTTTCTTGCGCTCCACTGCAGATTAGCAGCTTATCGGCGAACGCTGTGCAGTAATGGCGAAACCGGCCTTAACAGTTTCGTTGTATCCGTATTTACATGAGGATTGTTGCTTTCAAGGACGAAATTCATCTCTGCTTCTACGTTGGAAGGTGAGCTTGCTGCAGTTGAATCGCTTGTCCTTTCTGCTTCATCTGCAATGATATGAGGTGAGTTTGTATGTACATTATGGTTGTTCTGTGATTCCTCACGTTTGCCCGCTTCAGACTCGCTTCCAAATCTCGTACATGCCGCCTCTTGACTTTGATTATATACATGCAATAGGCGGGAGATGACAGAACTCATGTGTGGTGAATTTATGTCCATGGAGGTATGTTGGTAAATCGTTTGGAGGAAGCGAGAAAAGAACGTCTGATTCTGACAACTAGTGGGAAACATTTCTTGGTTACATATCATAGCAAGAGCCAGTGCACCGAGAGCAATCTCGGAGGAAGAAATATTGCTGAAATAGATGTCACATAAAGAGACCTCCACGAGGTATAAAGCAAAGTCAACCATTTGTGAAAATTTCTCCCGCCTTGTAGAATCATTTGGGTTTATTTCTCCGTCATGTTGGATCAGAAGCATCCCAACAAACTCGTGGAGAAATGCGTTAGGCGTAAGGATTTCGCGGTCCCAGGAAAGTTTTTCCAGCATGGTGTTTCCAGTCGAAATGATATGTTTCGCTTGAGGAACTCCCGGACTGCTGCTGAGTTCCAACAACTGGGAAATTTCTAGCTCTTTGTTCGAACCAGAAACGCGAATGGCAAGGAAAAGCGATGTGAAAGAGATTACTTCGTAATCGAACTCTGTGATGACTACTGGTGCTGACGATGAACCGTCCTCCGAAAGAACGGCAATATATCGATCCACAATATTCATGGCCACCGAGGCAACGTGCCGCGATTCTTCTAGATAGTCCACAACATCGTAGCACCATTGTGCCACACGCTCTCTCCAAATATGGTTGTGAAAGCAATTCTTGGTGCCTTGTAAAGCTCTGTGATCATTTGCAGTCAGTTGGTCGTTTCGTTCAATAGCAATCATTCTCTGCAGCCTTGACAGATATTGGTTAGAATCGCTGATAGCACATCGACCATTATCCGAACGTGAAGAAGACATGTTTGAAGACTTTGCTTTCTTTTTCATACAATCAGAGAGCGATTGCACAGGGCAACACGACGAGACAGGGTCGCATACTTCACGGTTTTGCAAAGCTTGTTCTCTTGGCGCTATGGTGTGTTGATACAGGTCGTCGGGAAGGGGCAACGCACCACAATCAGCCTGTCGACCGTCGGAGGGGGTTGAGTTCTCTTCTCCACTGCATCCAGTTTGTAATTTGTTAGGAACCATGATCGGTTGAACTGCATGGGTAGTAGCAGTGTTCTTTTTTGAAGTTGACTTGCAACTTGAATTGCACATAATTTTTGTATTGAAAACGATACTTTACACTACGCTCGTACTTGACGAGCACAGAAGAACACAACAGTACGAGGAAAGGAAGAATGTTGCAACTGCACTACGAAGAATGAACAAGAAAAATGTATTCGTCTCATACCGCTACATACAGAGCATCATAACCTCTGTTGTACGATTAACTCCGGTAGCATACTCGTAAGCTTGGAAAAAGCTCCCTCTTCAATCAAAAGTTCTTCTCGCGTGCTATCGTGGTATTTTCAAAGATATGAATTCTACCAGCTCATTCTTGGAGTAAACTTATGAGGAACTTCCGTCGAACTTAGTATTATGATGACTTCGGCTCTTTTTGTCATAAGTACAAAAATTGTGACGTCAAACACATGTCCAAATACATACTTTTTCTGTAAATCATGTTAGATGTAGAAACAGTCTTTTCAGACGTACTTGGAGCTAAGCTCACGTCGTTACGTGCTGATGTACTCTTACGGTGTGTTGCGTCATCAAAGATTTGAAGCGCGATCATTGAAGTCTTAATTAGTGGTGTCAATTTAAGTTCTTTATTTTCATTCAACCAGAGTTTTCGAGTACGAGGTACGTACCATACAAAGTAGTGTGTTAAGGTCACAAAATGTACCGTATGTTGCGACGGTACTAGAAGATGTTCACAGTACTACCGTACGTGCCGTACAGTATCATAGAACATACTAATACTTTGCAAGAACGACTTGAATGTTCGGCACAGAAAGAGTACGTACGTACGTACCGTACGTAATTTCCGAAGAATCTAGATCGAAAATGACAATTTTGTAGTCATATCCTCCCTTCAGCTCAATCTATCGGTACCGGAATCGGTACCATACGTTACTTTGCTTCAATTAGTTGAGTAAAAAGATTTATCTCACTACATTCGATTCAACAAAAATCATCTCTCATGCTGTCATTTGAAAAGAAATCCGTTCTGTTCATAGTTTTGGTTCTAATAGCTCACCCGCACCTACTGGTCGCGTTTGGTCCTAACCACTATTATCGTTCGACAGCGCACAGTATTCTTCCTTTATCAATGGGACTCTTCGACGGAATCTCCAATGGGATATCAAAGGCATTTACCAATCAAGATTTCAAAACTCAGGATCAACGTGTCAGAGCCTCTCATATTCTGATAAAGGGTGACGATTCGGATAAGGTTTTGGGTTCGATAATGGATTTGCTGGGAGAAATCCAGGCCCGTGCGGGTGAAGGAGACGAGCCACTTCCGCAGGTATTTGCCGATCTTGCAAGGAGAGAGTCCCAATGCCCTTCAAAGGACCAAGGTGGCGATTTGGGGATGTTTGGTAAAGGTAAAATGGTGAAGGAATTTGACCAAGCCCTTTTCCCTGATGATGCGAGCCTTGCTCCACCTGCAGGAAATATCATCGGCCCTGTGATAACGGATTTTGGAGCACACATTATCTTCATTACGAAGCGGGATGAAAACAAAGATCAAGTAGAGGAGAAGCTAGCACGGATAGACCCAGATGCAGCACAATAAGTGTTAGGTCTTATAATGTCTTTTGTTTTTGGGTTGCGGACATTATCACTCGCGTGCGAGGGAACAAATCGATGCTCAAGGCCAGTTCCGATTTGAATAGTAATCATACAAAGAAAAACTCCACCATTTTGGGAATTTTGTCACACAACCAGATCTGTGGTATTGCGCATTCTGCGCAGTTGATACCATCAAAGTTTCAACATCCACCCTTAGTTTTTCCTGTTTTAATCACAATCTGGAAAAATCATTCACAATTCTATTTTGCCAGAACATGTGTTCAGAATGAGCATTCATTTACTTCAAAGTATCATAGGTCCATACTGAAAGCACAAAAAAGTCACCCTTCCAGGGAACTAATTCCGTTCTTTGCACCCTGCCATATTTTTTATGCCCCCCCCCCTACGTTAAAGAAAACTGTCACAGCTCAAGAGATAGGAAAAACCAGCATCCCATATTTTACAGTGCCAAACGCGACACAAAATCAGGCTTCATCATGTCAACAAACTACTCTCTCGTCTTAGCTTCAGTAAAGATTCCTCCCAATACGATATTTACCTTGGCAATAGGACCCATGACTTCAGTTCTTCTTTTTACAAAACTTCAAGGGATAGCGGTTTGTGTTAACTACTAATACCCAAGACAGTCCATCTAGTGGCATGCTGCAGAATCTTGACGACCAAGTGATGTATAACCCTTCAGTTGAAGAAGTTGGTCTTGTGTTTATAGAGTCTGCAATGGAATCAATTGATTCTGATCTCAAGGGTGGTGTTTTTTATGAACCTGTTCAGTTGGAGGAAAGCTCCGACTCTGTTCTTGTTGATGCAATCAAAACACCCTTCAAACAATGGTTGTTACCACCCTCGTCAAAGGTCAAAATAAAGTTAATTACTAAGATCATGAGAGACCACAACATACCATTAGTTGCTGAAAGGGAGCTATACTACCAATGGGCTATTGAATCAGAGAGGTTTTCAAGTTTCACCTGGAGTACTAGAAGCACTCTGATCAAAAAATTGCCAATCTGTTCCAGATGAATGCTACAGCTTCACCTGAACTATGCAGTGATGGTTTTGTACCGCAACTTATCAAATGGCATTCTAGCAACAAAGGTTGTGACAAAGTTATCTATGTAAGGTCCTTTAGATGTACATTGCAATCTCTTTTTACCAATTTTTCATCAATCAAAGACAAAATCTTAGTGTTCCCCAATCAAAAGAACCCCACTTCACAGTGCAGAGTTCCCCAACTAATGGCAGACTCCCTCATCTGCAAACTCCACCATGGGGAATAGTGGGTGGAAACTTGAAAAAAAGTGTGATCCAAATAATGACAAAAAGTTGGTTCCCATTATATTCTACATGGATGGCATTGCTATAGACAAGCACAGAAGCACAACCCTTTGTCCATTGAATATGACTCCTCTTGGTATATTCAGTGATCTCTCCCAGTCCACTAGACCCAACGCTTGGAAGACTCTTTATTTTCATCCTCCAGGAAAAAACAATCTGTTGGTAGACAATATTCACAATCTTCATAGTGGTTTATGGGCAGCTCTTGCATCCTTCTGATCAATTTGTGAATCATTGAATGTTATTTTGTGGCAAAATTGTCCATGGGATGGTAAACTCTGGAATGTGAAATTGAAGTTTACTGTCACTTTCTTTGTAGGCGACACTGAGCAACACAACAAGCTATGTGGGCATTTCACTTCTGCTTATACCAAACTGATCTGTTGACACTGTAACTGTCCTCATATGCTTGGAATCAAATCAAAAGTTAAAGTCCTGAATGTTTCCATTTCTAACAAACTCTATGCTCTCCAAAGTGCAATCCAAAGCAAAGACAATGATGACATATCTGACAAGACAACAAATGGTAGTACCACAGAAGGCTAACTGAGCAAGAAGAGGCAGCTTGCCCCATTACTCTCCTCTAAGGTTATGGCACCCTTTAGATTTCACAGAGTCCACTGTACTTGTTGCTATTTCCCATGAACAGCATGGTAACAACTCACATCACCCAATCATTTGAGGCAATGCATTCCACAACCTCAATTTTGGTGTCAATAGCCACGGTATACACCTTGCCTCCCCTGGGGAAAGGCTGCACATGCATCAACTCAGATGTGCAAAATGGGCAGTGGAAACATTCTGCAACGTCTTCCTATCTAATTCAAAGAAGCTCCTTGACGGTATGGATTTGATAGATGGTTATTAGTATGGTGCTTCTCTCCAGGGGCAGTCTGATTGCAATTTTTCCCAAACAAACTTTTCTGAGTCCATACACACCACAAAAAAGGAGGGTAACCACTTCAGCAAGGAAGGCTACAAGCTATTGATGCCTGACCACAATCTGGAATAGATTGGTGGTTGTATCTATGCTTTGGAACTAATTCTGGGGATGGAGGAATTTCTTACTAAATGGTCCAGCACCCCACCTGAGATTTTTGGTATGCAGCAAAATATTGACAAAGCATTTAAGTTCCCAAAAGAGAGAATTGGCGCAACTAACCTTGAAAAGATGGATGTTCACTTTATTAAGAACATCAACAATCACCTTGATAGCAACAAAGGAAACGGTAACAATCTTATTAAGAATCACATGTACTTTCACCTTTCTGCTTCTTGGACCTCCATCTGGATGGGATTCTGCTTGGAGCAAAAGTAACCACAAGACAGAAGTTAAAGCCCCAGTAAAGAGAATGCCTTGAGTATCCTGTTCACTTATCAACCAAACTGCAAAACGGCACATGGAGTACTGCATGATAGATAGACTCCAGGTTGTGATTGCACCTAGATTTACAACCTTCAGAGGGTTACTGTCACCTTTGTGCATTTCAACGGCCCATTGGTTAAGCAGCATGGTGACATCAGCATAGGTCAAGGGTGGAGTAATAGTGAAGGATCCTGTTCCTTCCAGGGTGCTCAGAATAACTTTAGATGGGATGCAATTACCATTAAGTTTGACGTGAATTGCGTAGTAACCCAAGATTTTTTGCGATATTTAACACGCATGAAGAGGACAGATTGATTGTACGGTAGATGAATCTCACTATCATAGGGCTTTGAGACCTGACAGTGCAAACCATGATGTTGTTCCTTGTGACAGGGTGAGTCACACACACACAACAACAAAGCAGTTTTTGTGAAGAGATGAGAGAAATGTTTTGTACAAAAAATTGTGTGCAAGGACAGTGGAATGGCATTGCATACAAGAAAGAATAGAAAATGCAAAACTCTCCAAAGACAAATGGAAGTCTTGCCACATCTTGCGCAACCACCCACTGATGGGCTTACAGGTTGTCAAGGCACATGTAGAATCAATCTGGTTGGAGGTAATATACTTCTTACTACTTTCAACTTTCTTAGACAGCAATGTTAATTGTGGACCTGCACCACTATTACCCATGCAGAAATGAGTCCTGTTGCTGGAGGTGTCATTGCAAAGAAACATATTGACCAATGGATGAATGGTGCTTGGAATATCACCAGCCATTTTGCCAGACGCTTTTTTGACAGATGGACAAGTTATGACTGTGTTACTGGGAATATATACACAAGTTGTGAGTTCTGTGAATGGTGTTCTTGTTGTGACCTGTCTGCTTACTGCCTTGCCAAAATTCTTGTCATAGTAGTCTTTGTTCCCCAAAGCAGGAGCCTCCACTGCTTTCTCAAGAATCTTCTGCTTATCTTTCCAGAGAATTCTGAGATTCAACAGCACTGCCTGCAGTTTAGGGTCATGTGCAAGCATCACCAGTTGAGGAACTGGTTGAGGGTTAGTCATAGTAGAAGTGAGGAACTTGTAGTTGAAACTGGTGGAGACTGCAACAAGATAATTTATGATCCAAAAACATAAAGAAACAATTTCAACTGTTTGTGGGGTGAGAATTTATAGCAAGACTCTGTGCTTGTGGTTGACAAAAGGAACTGGTGTTGCTAACAGTGGCATTTTCTTAGATTTTTCCATTTACTACAGCTTTGGAGAAAACAGTCAAAACCAGGAATGCCGTTCCAGGATTTGGTACAGCATGATTTGGAAACAGCACACAACACCACAAGCTCTAAGGAATTTTGATTAGGGACCATGGTTTTCTGTTACATGACTTTTGGTCCAAGTGAGATCATGTAAAAGAAATAGACAAGACCTGGAACCCAGGGAGCAGCACCAACAAAAACCCCTAACACGGCAGTTTGCAGTGCTCATTACTATAACATCCCCAGTAGTAAGTAGTAATAGAGGTTTTCCAGTAGTAAGCCCTAATAGTAATTCTCAAGTAGTAACCGATGAATTTACCTCTTTAGTAGTAAGGACCACTAATAGAAATATTTAAGGACTTGATAGTTTTTGTGTGTGTAGGGGGGGGGGGGAGGGGAAATGGAGATGGGAGAAAAAAAAATCGAATTTTTGTCGAACGAAACCGCTCCGGGGTCTATTTAGTCGTTCTGTGCGAAACACTAGTCGTACATGAGTGAAACCTGTCGTTCATACGGCCACTAGTACGAATACGTACGTACCATACTCCATCACCAGGGAGGACAAGTGCGTAGTATGGTACGTGTACGAGTACCACGTAGGTACGGTATGGTTCGATCGAAACATTTAAGCTTATTTCAAAACGGCATCCGTTTTCAAAAATACTGTAAGTACCATACGTACCGCTAGTGCTATTACGGAAACGTGGTCTTACTCTTACGATGCTTTCTAGTCTACTACCGGTACTTCAACGTCTTTTTTTGTCCAATCGTGGGACAACTTTTATTTTGCTACTAGTAAACGACTTTTCCACCGTTCCTGAGGTACCGTACGTACGGTACTCAATACTATTGATGAAGTACTGAACGGTACGTACGGTACGTGGGGATTGTTGCTGTACTTACGCTTGCTGTACTACGACCCATTACTGTCACGAATTATTCTGTGAGCGGCATGAAACGTTGCCGAAAAAATAAAACTAGTCTTCCGTTTCTCTTCAAATTCTCGAACCAAAAACGAAATTGGAACGCTAAAACGAACTGAATTTTCTTCTTCATCTTTAACGAGTAGTAGTACTCTTGTTCTGTACTACTCTATTGAATATCACAATATTATTTCTTTCCAGAATGAACAAGTACTATCATACCGTTGCACAACTGTCCTTCATAGAGCGCCCCCCTCCTTAGAGATTATCGATACGCGAATAGTGAACAATTTGTGATTCTAACAATATTCCCAAACGTGAATAAGAGCTGTTTCGACTCTCAATTCGACTATCATGCCCTCTTTTCGAATTGGAGACAGATCAAAAGGAGCCGTTTCCGATCCTGCAAAATCTGAATCGAAAATTCTGAGATCCCTTTTCGAGCTTCGTAAAACGTTGAATGAACACAAATTTGGATCTTCATTTCAAGAGAGAACGCATATAACGTTTTGGAAATGCCAGTGGTCACGGAGAATAATCCAAAGCATGACGAAGTTGATCGTTCGAGATGGCCAACATTTTTCGAGCATTAAATTCTTTGATTGTGACACCAAAAGCAAAGAATTTGCAGAGGTCCTCACGATGGTTTTGAAAAATAATGCTACAAGCTCGCTGGTTGTTAAAGGAGGAAACGTGAACGGAAATACAACAAGCGAAGGTCACAGGCCATTCTCACAAGTCTGTGAGTCGATGCTGGGTTCGCTTTCGAACGAAGCTTCAATTGCGGTTGCACTTCGTGAGGGACTTTTGATGAATAATAGCCTGAAATCGCTTAGGCTCTCAGGCCTGAACTTCAAGAATGAAGGTCCAAATACGAAAAATCATGGCGATAGCGAATCTTGCGGCGATGAATACGACTGGTGCAAAATGTTGATACACAAAACCACACTTCGGAATTTAGATCTATCGGGTTCACCTCTCTCGACTTCGACAGCCACAAATTTATCAAACGCTTTGTCCCTAAATAAGTCGTTGCAATACCTCGACCTAACTGGATGCTACCTGGACGATCAATCTCTTTCAAAGATACTAAAATCGCTGCAAGAGCATCCGAGTTTGACGAAACTCAATTTATCCCGCAACTTTCTCGGAAAAAGTGCTTCTACATTGGCTCTGGATGCTGTTGCTCAGTTGCTACGATCGAAATGCAGCAATCTCGCATGCCTTGTTCTATCCCAACAGCAACACCCACGGTTGAACTTAGTAACAAACGCATTCGACAATAGTATGTATGCTGGAGAATTGGAAAAACAAAGGCACCAGATCGCATTTGCACGTGCTCTTAATGCGTTGTCCACAAATACAACTCTGCGAATGATCGATTTCTCAGGAAATAGTCATTGTCTGTCAGATCTAACTAGTTTGGAAGCATTGAGTTCCTGCCTGGTCACCAATACGGGTTTGCTTCACGTGAATGTCTCTTCGTGTGATCTCACTCCTTTCGCCATCGAGTACTTGGCTAAAAATTGCATTCCACATTGCAGTCGACGTTTGAAATCTCTTGTCCTATTCGATGACGAAACTAGCGAGATTGACGTGGAAAATAAGGGCTGGACTACCGCCCAATCAGCTCTTTTTAGTGCATTGCAAACGAATAAAACGTTGGAGACTTTTGGAGAGCTGGATGGTGTGATAACGAACTTTGAGTCTAGAAATAGATTTCAGCACTTATTGAATCTGAATCGCGCGGGTCGTCGAGCACTTGCTGCCAACGACCTACCATTGGGAGCTTGGTCTCATGTGTTGGCAAGAGCTGGACGCACGGAAATTGACAACAGGGATCATGACCTCTGCAGCATTACCGACACCATCGAGTCACCCACCATCAGTAGTACAAAATCTACTGCTGCATCTGTTGTGTTTGCACTCCTCCGTGGCCCAGCTTTGTTGGACAACCGACAGCAGTGACAACGCGGTAGGAAAAGTTTTTTCTTCCCAGGAACATGAATCGCAGCAACTTAGTGCATTTCCGAAAACAATACGGGAGACACCAAAAAGTTTCCGCACTAAATCCTTTCACAAATTATAGTACCATCAACATTTATCCAAGTTATATTCTAGTATTTTCAAACCTTAGCTGGTTCAAAAGTTACGAAACAGATGTGAAAGATGCGTTTGAAGAAGTAACGAAGTGTGACCGGAAGGATCCGAAAGGTTACAAAGGGTACGGTAGAAATGCTTCACATCTTTAGTTTTCGCCGTCTCAAAACTTTCTACAGATTTTGTGATACACAGGTGTAGTCCTTGCTGTAACTTAATCGATGATAAACAAATAACAAAGATGAAATCATTCAACACCATTTTCTTCGAACTTGTCCAAGGTGAATTCACATCCCATTTCGAATCGCTGCCCAATGAAAAGGTTTGCCCATCGATCAGGAGGTCGGTCTTGAACAATTTCTTTATGTTTTTCTTTCTTTTTGCACGAGCTTTGATTTTTCGCACCATCATCGATGGTTCCTGCCTTTTCATCTCCTGGGGGATCCAAACCGCTACGTCTCTCGACATTGATTTCGCTATCACCACAACCACGGTAAGTTGTCAGGTCGAATGTGTTGTTCACAGAGTCCACAAAAGTGGAACCACGATCATTCTTGCCAGGAGGCATATCCGGTTTGTTGCGATCGGTATTTTTATTCCTGTTTCGAATTTTTTCTACAGCTTCGTGCCAGATTCCATCGAAATCTCTTGTCGAGAGACCCAAAAATTTGTGTTTCCAAAACCTTCTCCTACCTGTAAGAGACATGGTTGCATTCTTCACAATTTCTTGTTCGTGGTTCACAAGATCTTCAAATATTTTATTCAAATCCCTCTTTGAGACACCTACAGACATTGCGTTTGCTACTTCCCGACGTCGTTTTCCCAACTTCGGCTGTTCGCCGGCATTGACAGGGGTAGCTATAGAGGGATCGAGTTCCTTGTGTCGCTCTTTACCTTTGTTCTTGTGTTTTCCCTTACCTTTGTTCCCCTTCAACGAAGTGAGTGAAGCATTCTTCGTATTTCTTGTTGGATAATTCGTAACCGACATATTTGGGACAGATCTCTTCGAAAATGATGGTAGTGGTGTAGCATCAGGAGATGGAGGCCGTTTACGAACATTTTTTGTATTCAAACTAGGAAGCTTTGGAAATCCTTTTGCTTGATTTCTATGCTGCTGCTTTTGCTTCTGGAGCAACATTACCTTTTCCTTTTTGAGTTGTTTCTGAAAGTTTTCGTCGATATTTTCGGCATGATTTTTGCAGTACAGGCAATGTACTGTATCTATATTTTCTCGAATAGTGCCGTCGCTATTCGTAAGACCCGGAAAATAAAAACATTTCCGAACTGTTGTCGATTTGTCTTTCCATCGAGCACAGCCTACGTGGAGCGCTTGTGTGCAGGGCCGGACATCATCGTTTCTCAGTCTGTGCTTGTCTTTGTGTTCGAAGTACTCATCGGGATCGTTTGCAACACACTGCAACGGAATTCTCATTGAGTTCCTGTGGTCTAGCAAACCACATTCAATGCATTTCAGTTCCTTTTGATTTGTGATAACAGCTTTTGTCCAAGGATCCAGCTTCCCGTCTGGCGGCGTCATGTAATACCGAAAATGAGGCATGGCATCACCGTACATGCGACGAAACTCGTTCGTTATCCTCAGTTCAGGATTTGGTGGACGCCTGTCCGGATCCTCCTCTTCGTCTTCTTCCATACCAATGTAATCTCCATCTTTGTAGCAGGCATACATGAAATTTACAGAGGCGAGGTACAAACAACACAATGCATGGCCCCACGCCAACACTTTCTCGCCACGGACGTTGCCGTCCTTGTTGTTCGTTTTGCTGGTGTAGCAAATCTGACGCCCTCCCGCTCCGTGATAATCGAACAGGGGGTACATCGCATGGGTACCATCCGAAACACTGCACAAGGCACATTCCGTGGGCCGTTTCTTCTGCTCGATTTCGTAAAAGTGAGTGCTCCTATGGGTATCCACGGCTTGGCAGGTCTTGCCAATAGATCTGTTTGGGTTGCGTGTGGACGAGAAAACAAGTTACGTATGGAAGAAAGAAAACAAGTGTTAAAAGAGAAAATCCAAATGCGATTCCACCACCTAAGATTCCTCGCGGTGTATTCGCTGTGGAAGACCACAAAATGAGATAGTGCGGTACTGAACTTACGAACAACCGAAGCAGACGAAATCTTTCCCATCGCCTTCTGGAAACACTAGATAGCATTCCCTATGGACACACACCTTGCATATTCTACACTGGACGAAGTTCATGCCTCGTTTCCCATCTTTTAAATCGCAAATGTCGCACCGACCCGGGAGCTTGGGCCGATTTTCGTTCGAGGGAGACGATGCCATTGGATTTGCGATGATTGATAATCGTCTCAATGAATTCTTCGACGTTTGTTACAGTGACTTGTTCTCTTGAATAAAGCAATGAGAAGCACGCCAGTGCCGGCGTCTTCGTCCTCTTCGTTGTGGCTGTTTTCGCGGCTGGGATCGCCTCAGTGATTTGCACAAGGCAAACACAAACTTGTAACTGTTCACATGGGACGATCTTCCGCCCGAGCTCGTACCGTTTGCTACTACGATTTGATACTACGATACGATTACGTACTCGTAATAATATTTCGTGCCCCTAGATTTTGGTGTTCTCGACGATTTTCTTCACCTTCCGTAGAGTACAGTACTTTACGATACTCGTACAGTGATAGCATCTGTATGCTGGTATCATACGGCACACGGTTCACACCGCAACACAATATCTTCTAATCATTTTCGTCATCAGACCGCTCTGGACAACTCTGATCTCCAATCTTCATCATTGCGGTTGCAAGTATTGAGTGACAGAGTCTAATTCAGTATCCTTCCTTTCAGAAATGAGCCAGTCCGACAACAATTTGCCCATTTTGGATTTTAGCTGACTACAAAACAAATTCCAAACTGCAAATTGTACTGAAAATCACGATCCAATATACCATGATGAAATTGAAAACTGGGAACCCAGAAAGGTTATTCCTGTTTTGTTTCTTTTGGAGCTTTTGCTCCGTTAACATCTTCTACGTGGCAATTGCGCAAACCAACTTGTTTCGTGGGTTCAAAACAGGGAAAGAAGACGCCACCGGGGCCATTGACGATGTTCCTCTCACAACGACTCTGTCAAACGGTGTCGTCGTGCCTCTGGCGGGACTCGGGGTTGGGAACCTCCAACGAAATTTGGTAGAAACGAGCATCCACGAAGCCTTGAAAGACGACCATCGGATACGGCTGTTCGACACGTCCCACGCGGCGGGAAACGAGAGGGAAGTTGCCAAAGGCATCACCACGGGAGTCAAAGCCTTGAAAGACGAGCGCGAGAGCCTTGGCGAGGAATTCGACAGGAAGAAAAAGATTCAGGTTCATGTCGTGACGAAAATCTGGTATACGCATTTGGGGTACCAACGGACGAAGCTGGCTGTAGAAGAAATTCTCGAAAACTTCGAGGAGGCGATCAACGATCCAAACGTTGATTTGAAACTGACACTGTTGATCCATTGGCCAAAATGTTTTGATGAAATCCCTTGGATGAAATGCAAGGAAGAAGAGGACCGGTTGCCGGAGAGGATCAAGAATGCGGGGCCACCACCCCATCTCGACGACAACGCGTGGAAAGAATCGTGGTGGGCATTGGAAGATTTGTACGACGCCCACAATTCGGTTGACAACAACAAGAACGATAGCTCCTCCTCGGTCATTGCCGCTATTGGAATAAGTAATTTCGATCGCGCTTCTTTTGAAACACTCTTATCTTTCGCTCGGATACGACCACACGTAAACCAAATCAACGTGTGGGGGCTCCTCCATAATAAATGGATGATTGACCTAATGAACGAAGCGAATGTTCACATGCAGGTTTTCAATGTCATKGATGGTATGATCAGACATGTCTATGAGAACCCAAAAGCACATCATCACCTCTTGATGATTGCCAATCGAGTACACCAAAAGTACATCCAAGACAGCGTGTCTGTTGCAGCGGAAGAAAATAGTGGCAGGACTTTAGAGAAGGTCTTTCTTGTCCAACTCATGCTCAAGTGGTTCGTCCAGTCAGGCATATCCGTGATTCCTCGGACTTCCAAGTTCAAGCATTTGGACCAAAACTCGGCGGTTTCGCTTTCAATGATCCCGGATTTGGATGATGAGGAAACAGAGGTAGTAAGCAGGGCCATGGTCGCTTTGATCGAGAACGAAGATTTCGAGGACGACGTGCTGCTCCAAGTTCGATTTCACGCCACAGTAGCAGACATGTTTCTGTATTGGGTCCCGGACGAAGGAGACGTCGAGAAACAAGTGGCCTTTATAGAAAAGGGCAGTTCATACGAAGAATCGGCCCATCCTGGCCACGTGTTCAAGGTTTATCAAGCATACGACCCTGATCAAGTCAGAACGTACTCTATCGGTGGGCATTATGGGGATACTCAAGATATCCACGTAGAGTTGTGACGGGCCGCAATCCTTTCCGAAAGACTGAGATTGTTATTTTTATTTGAATGTTGAGGTTTGGATGTAATGACATGGATGGACGTTGCACTGTAGCAAAGGGTTTCCTTTCGAATTGGTTTCAGGATTCTCTGCCAATCGTTGGTACCACCAGATAAACTCCTTTCTGAACTTGTTAAGATAGTATTGGTAGTAGTACTTCTAGTAGAACACCAAATCATTTTTGTTGAATACAGTAGTAAATGACGTGCTATCTTTGACTATCCACCATGATTTACATTGATTCAAATTGTTCCATCAATCATCAGAAGCCCAAAACCATAACCTGGATGAGGACTGACATCTTATCCACCGTCAACAACTTGTTCTTTTTTTTGGTGCTAGATGGAGACAGCAATGGACTGAACAACAAAGATATTCATCCACACTAGTAGTGCCACCACCACCAGTGTTTTTTTGGGTTACTTTGACCTACTATTTGTTGGTTATTTCATTCCAATTACAATCAAGAACGTTGGTACTTCTTGTTTGGTTCCTCGTAGTATGGTAGTTTACTAACCAATATTTAATAGAAGTATTTTGCACGTCCGAAGTTTATTACTGGTAGTAGTACTACTAGTACTACTAGTAGCACGTAGTGCGTAAAAGTGCCCTTCCAATTTTATGGTTCGTTACTGTAGAATGAATGCACGTAAAGTTCCGCACAGTACGAACATCGAACCTCCGATTTTCGTCGGGACAGGGTGGTCCCTTCTCGGCCCCCATTTTGGCAGACGCGAGTTGTCAAGATGAGCAACACCGTCGCAACCGTCCCGGAGTCGCCGAGTTCGACAGCATTGAACCGCTTCGAGGAAATTCCCGAGGAGGCCACCATCTTCAGTCCGGCACCGCTCCCATCGGCTGTTCTAGCGCTGCCCGGCAACGCAAATGCCATCGAGATCGGAAAAGCATCTCGGGTGATTCCCGATCGCAACGCCCTGCTAGTGGGCCGCCAGGTCTCGTCTTGTGACATTCGCATCGGACACAAATCACTGAGTCGTCGGCACGCTCTCTTGTATTACCATTCCGCCCGTTTATGGGTCCTGGATTTGAAAACAAAGGCGGGAACATTTGTCAATGAAAAGAAAATTATTTCGGGGACACCGGTTGAATTGAACGACGGGGACACGATTCAATTCGGGAAGGCAAAGCCGATTTTCACCGTTCGCTGGGACAAGAACAGTGCCCTTAATGAAGTCGACGACCAGGATTCTGGCAAGGCAAACGCGGCAAATTCTAGTATCCAAGAAGGAGCATCAAAAAGTGACGAACAAGGCGGGCAAGATCCTCATAACAACAGGAGTAGCAGGAATACCGATGCTGACAACAACGTTTCTTCGAAAGGCAAAGCCATCACGAAGAACGGAAACGAATCCGGGGAACCTCCTTCGCTTGAAGGCTTGACAGGTCGCGAGAGAAGACGAGCAGAAATTGCTGCCATGATGGCATCCCTGGATGAAACACCGACTTACGAAAAATACGTGCCGACTGCAACGAGCAATGCCGGGACACAACAACCACAGCAGGAGTCTCATCGGACACCAAGCGACGATAACTGTTTCGGAGAAGAACAAGCTTCCCTCGAAAGGAAGAAAACGCGGGTATTGGAAAAACACCGCATCCCTATCACGGACTGCACCGATATGGCGGTTCTGGACACTTCGCACGTTTCAACGAGCGCCATGGATCCCACGGGTGCAAGATTTGCAATCGGAAGCATGGACTCTTCACTCAAACTCTACGACTTTGCTGGATACAACATCATTGATCCCGTTCCCTTTCAGCATTTCATAGTCGAAGATGGCTATCCCGTTCGAAGCATGGCCTATAGCTCGGATGGATCGTCGATATTGATCGGGACTGGATCGGCACAACCCCGCGTCTTTAGTCGTGACGGAAGCGAGCTCGTAAAATTTGTTCGTGGAGACATCTATGTACGGGATCCCTCCAAGACCATTGGCCACACGGCGCCGGTTACCAGTGTTGGCTGGCATCCCCTCGAGGCATCCACCGTGTTTTCCACGTCTCGAGACGGAAGTTTGCGATGTTGGAACATTGACAAGGGCAAGCTCTCCTTCGGTATGCTGAATTGCTCCGATGTGATCGGCATCAAACATCTAAGGACGGGGCGTATGACGATACCAACCTGCTTGGCCATATCGCCAAACACATTAGCGGTTGGGACAGAATGTGGGAGCTTGCAAATATTTAAATATCCGTTCGTCTCGAAGCTTCGACCGCAACAATCTGTTCAGGTGTCATTACCGAATACAGAAAAGAAAACCAAGAAGGATGCCGATCCAATTGTGAGCTTGGTATATTCCCTCGATGCAACCAAAATAGCGGTGCGTACCAAAAAGGAGGTGACCTTGTGGAACGCAGCTTCCAAGCTTTCTACTTCGACTCAGCCATGGATGAAATACGACAATCTTCCACTTCACGACGATGACACGGGCGCTGATAGCAGCACGCCTACCATGGCATTTTCTCCAAACGGAAAAATCCTTTGCGTCGCTACCAATACAAAAGTGGATGGCAGTGGGAAAGATTACCGCAGTCGCCTAGAACTGTTTTTGCTTCCAAAGGAATCCAAACCGAAACGCGACAAAAAATATACTTCTCCCGTCTTCTCTATGCCTATTTCGGATGGAAAAGATGATGCCGGCTTTGTAATGAGCCTCTCATGGCATCCAAAACTCAACCAGCTTCTGGTGACCACACAAAAGGGATTCCAGGTTTTTTTTTCCACCGAATGGTCGAAGAACGGCATCCTGCTGACAAGTGGTCGCAGAAAGAAGCGCAAAAGCGTCGAAGAGAGCCTGCAAGATCTCTATGCAGCACGCGCTCCTCCTCCCGGCACCGCCATTCGGCAAGAAGAAATCATCACTCCGAATTCGCTGCCCCTCTTTAGTGGGGACAAACAACGCGCGAAAAGCAAGAAGCAACGCGCCGAAGAAGATCACCAGGACTCGGTGGCCAGGCACATTCCGCAGCAGCCTTCGAAGGGAGTTTTCAATACCGGGGTGAACATGTTTACGCAAATGATAATGGACGACAGATCCTCGCATCAAAAGAAAATTGCGGGAATGGATCCGCGAGAGGCTTTGGCAGAATATAGCGAGGGGAAATCTTTCATTGGCAAAGCTTATGAAGGAAACGTCGAACGTATTTTGACCGAAAAGACAATGGAACAAGAACAAGAGGAAATGAACGGGAAAGCTCAGAACAAGAAGTAACACCTCAAGTAGGAACTAATTGTCTACAAAAATCTAAATAGAAATACGGTATGCTTCAAGTTATCCACTTTTCATTGCTATTATAGAAATTATTGTTTTGTTACTGTTATTCTTCCAACAGAAGAATCCAACGCTTGGGCAAGATTGGAGTTGTAAATGGAAGATAGATTTCGGGACGAGTGTGGGCTATGATGTGCCCTTCCTGAGCAGATACATCTATTTCTTGCTGACGTAACCAGAAGGCGAAGTGTATGTGCTGCTTCCCGAACCATTGTTGTAGTAGGTCGATCCGTTGTCGTTGGAGTAGTAATACGACCCGTTCGAGTTCGAGTCTGCGCAATATGAGTTTTGTGGACAAAGAAGGACGTTAGTATATAGTCAGGAAATAAAGATCGCAATCAGACGATTGCCGAATACCATAGATTCCACATAGAGACACAGGCAAGACAGTTTTCCATTCGGTCTACTGTAAATGTCGGGTGTGGGATAGCAATCTTCAACTTACAGTGGTACGATGATCCACTGTTCGAGTTCGATCCACCTGGAGTGGTGTAGCTGTTTCCTTGGCTGTTGGTTCCAGAGCGAGGCATCTTTTGAGTTTCTTTGGGTATCGAAAGGATCGAAAAGAGGAACTGCGGTGATTGGACTTCAGATGAATTTTATGTCCACAAAAAGACAACCGGGAGTTCCGTGACACTAGATCCAATCTGATGGATTCCGGTGTCAGGCAACGACAGAAATTGATTGTTCGTGAGAGGACTGTAAACACAAGTAGTGACGATGGTCTACGGCTCATCTCTACCAGAACAACAGGAAAAGCTTGGCGCGAAAACAAGGGCGCCAATGACAAAAATCTCAATTCAAAATCTGAAAGAATAACTTCGCTCTGGGACGTGAGGTATTGACGATTTTACCACGCCAGGGACGATCATCATTGAAGATTTTACCACGTATCTTTGCTACTAGACCCGCTACTAGAATGGAACCAGAAGGCGCTGGTTAACACAGATACTTAAGAGGGGGCTTTGAGAATTTAAAAAACATTTCTGGTAGCGCGGCATATATTATGGTAGCGTTTGTGGTAGCAATCTGGTAGCATTTCTGGTCGCAATCTGGTAGCAATTATAGCTACCATCTGGTAGTCATTCTGGTAGACTGGATTGCTACCATAAATTCTACCAGATTCTGGTAACCGTCATGGTAAACACTTAATTCACATAAAAGTTGAGCATAAATAGAGGAATTCCCTTGACTTGCTGTTTTCTACAGCGCGTTCTACACAGCTTTTGTACTACARACGTCCATAAAACAAATTTCCAGTCCCGGGGAACCTCCAAGAAACTATTGCTACCAGAATTGCTACCAGATTTGCTACCATCTTGCGACTAAAATTGCTACCATCTG